CCGGTTTGATTCCCAGGTCAGGACACTTGCGCAGGTGGTGGGCCTGATCCCCAGTGGGAGGCATGCAGGCCAATTGATGTTCTCTCTCATCGATGTTTCTATCTCTCTCCCCCTCTCCCTTCCTCTCTCTCTAAAATCAATAAAGAAAAAAGAAAGCGTTCGGTGTTTCAGACGCTCTGTCAGGCCCGGTCCAGTCTTCCCGGAGCTTTGCTCTGTCCTCCGGCTCCCGCCCTGAGCGTGGACGCAGGACAGCGCTGGCCCGGCCTGCGCCCCTAGAACTGTACTCAAATGGAACCTCACACAGTAGGTCATCGAGGGTGGTCTGGCTTCTTGGACTCAACCTAAATGCTCTGAGAACATCCATTTGCATCGTTGGGAGCCCGTAGCCAGGTTGCGAGCCTGGTCCTGTAAGGGGGGACAGTGTGGCGCTGGGTGGTGCCCCTGAGGGAGAGGACTCATTCATCATTGCGGTCTGATGGCGGTGCCACCCTGTCTCCCGACGGCCACTTCTCCCTGCGCCCTCAGGCGGGCTCCCTGTGGACGTGGGCTGAGGTCTGTCCGAGACCCTGTGTCCCGTCTGCCCCCAGGACGACCTGGCACTCGGGTCTGCCCTGGCCAGGTCCCCGCTTCAGCCCACATCTTCAGGAGGCGTCCAGTGGCTGGCGGGTAGGTCAGAGTGTCTGTGGGCGCTGCCCAGACTCCCGCTTCTCCCCACCTTTGTCCCAGGGTGGTGGCAGGGTCAGCAAAGCCACCTCCGAGGAAGTGGGGTGGCACATGCGAATCTGTGGGACCCGGCCTCTCCCCCAGCAGGGCGGCCTAGAGGGCAGAGCTGGCAGGGCCGGTGTGTCCAGGGGCCACTCTGTGTCCCTGGACCCTATTTCCTGCTCCCTTTCTTCCCCACGCAACACCCACACTAAGTCCGGCTCCTCCTGTGGCGATGGAGACCCGGAGCAGAGCAAGCTTGAGGACAGGAAGAGCCAGCTCAGGCTGTGACGCAGACACCGCACCGTGTCCCACATCAGGCCCTGGCCCTCTCTCCGGGGGCACTTGGGTGGGCCGTGGGCACCATGTCCTCTTGGTGGGACCACCTGAACCCTGCACCACACAGAAGGATCGGACACGGGCCAGCGGGCAGGTGCTGTCTGGCTCCTGTGGAGGCGGCAGAGGGGGGCCGTCAGAATCATGGCTGAGGCAGCGGGCAGCTCCCAGCAGCACCCTGCACAGGGTCCAATGGCAGCGCCGGCACGTGAACGAAGTGCCGGCTGGAGATGGTCCCCCTTGCGAGAGCTGTTCACTTTGACCCCATCCTGGGTGCCGGGACACCAGGATTCGGGCCAGGGGCCCCCGTCTGGCTGGTGCACTCCCTGCAGGGATGGGGGACTGGAATGGGAATGCAGAACGGGGCAGTGCCCGTTCTTGAGGTGCCAGCAGGATGTGGGGAGTCCTGCGCTCCCTGCCTTCGTGTGACCCGGGGTCTGGGAGCCTGACACCCTGTGCATGGGCTCTGGCAGCTGGGCGAGCTCCGCGGTGCCCGGGGCCGTGGTCACCTTCAAGCTGGTGTGTCCTGTGGGCCTCGGGCGAGGTGCTGCAGTGTTCACTTCCTGCTGGGGAAGCAAGAGGCGGGAAAGGGACCTGCCTGGTCTCTCGCCCACGTGGATGCCCAGGGTCCTCACACCAAGACCACACAGGGCTGGCGGCACCAGCCCGCTGGGGGCAGCTCATGGTTCATGCCACGTTCTGCCCCAGCTGCACAGCCAGTGGGCACCTGCAGCATCGTCACCGCCTGGCTCAACAGGCACCTGAGGGCTGGGCTGGCTGCCGCCCGTGTCTGTGTGCCCGTCCTGTCCGCACCCCCGTCCCACCTCACAGACCGGGTTTGAATGAGCCATGTCATCAGTTACAAACTCAGTTCCAAGCTGGTCGGTCTGCACCGTTGAGCTCAGCTCTGCTGGGCTGTCGTGTTCTCTCCTGCCTTCTCCGAGGTCACTGGGCCACCGTCACCCAACCTCCGGAGCCAGTTGTCATCGCGGTGCTCACGCCTGTCTTCTTGTGAATCCATCACCGAGAAAATACCAACAGTGCGACTTTAAAAGACATTTCTCCTGGGTTCTAATTTATTCCCTTACACTCCCCCCCGCCCCCAATGGAGCCAGTCATTTCTGTTTATATCAATGGATTCTCTTCATTGTGAGCATTCTACGAGGGGACATGAAGAAGTTTAATTTAAAATTTAATTTTAAAGGTACTTGAGTCAGCCTGGCTGATTCAAATCACAGAGAAACCCAGTTGGTCATGTTCCTAAGATCCCTTCTCTGCTGTCAGAGCTGGGGCGGCCTCCCGGGCTGCGGACCTGCGGGGGCGGAGAGGCTGGTCCCTGCTCGCCCGCCTTTGCACACCATGTTTCTTTTGGATTCTGTTCATTAGCACAAGTTGAATTTTGTATGTAGTGTTAATTCATTTCCTGGGACCCCTGCCTGGAGGTTCTCTCTCAGGCGCTGGGGTCTGGGGCGGCGTGACTGACGCAAGCAGTAAAGGTTCCCGCCCCCATCGCGGAGGACACAGGGAACATCTCATCCTTCCCTGGGAAACACCAGCCCTGAAGGGCTGGAAACGACCTGAGCGTAGAACTAAAATTGTGAAATAGTGCAGGTCTGTGTGTTTCAGTAACATAAGATGACCGCTAGACTTTTTTTTTAATCCTCACCCGAGGACACTTTTCCATTTTTTGTTCAGATAGAGTGGGAGGGAGAGAGAGAGAGAGAGACAGAAACATCGACGTGAAAGGGACACATCGAGTGGTTGCCACACGCACGACCAACCAGGGCCGGGGACAAACTGCAACCGAGGTACATGCCCTTAGTGGGAACTGAACCCGGGTCTCTCTGTACCGCAGGCCAACGCTCCAACCGCTGAGCCAAACCAGCCAGGGCGACCGCTAGACTTTTTAAAACCTTTGTTTTGATTTTTTTTTTTAAGAGAGAGAGGGAGGGAGAGGAAGAGAGAAATAGAAACATCAAAGATCGGCTGCCTCCTGCACACCCCCTACTGTGGATCGAGCCTGCAACTCAGGCATGTGCCCTGACCGGCAATCAAACCCGTGACCTCCTGGTGCATGGGATGGTGCTCAGTCCACTGAGCCACACAGGCTGGGCAAGATAACTGCTAGATTTTACAATGTTCTGAAGTCTCTGTCTTCTGCTGTGTGTGTGTGTTCACAGCTCTCCTTTCGCTAACGGTCAGCACATTTGTAGGTCTGGTTTCAAGGCCTTTAATTTACTGAAATCCAAGCAGGGGGCGACCACAGCGCTGTCTCTGCCTCGACCGCGGTGGCAGGTGCAGCCACGGCCGCCACGGCCGCCATGTGCCCTCCGCGGAAGGTGAGAGGCAGTCAGGGCAGGAGATTGCCGCGGTGTGGAGGTGGTGGCCCTCCCTGGGCATTGGCCCCTCCCCGGGCCTGTCCGTGGGCAGGCGTGGACCTGCCAGTTGTCCACAGACCCCACCATGTCCCCTGCTGGGCCGGAGTCTGAGAGTGAACCCTGCCTTGGGGAGTCAGGCTGACTCCCCCCCACCCCAGATTCTACCCTAAAACCAAGAGGAGGCACCAGAATGGGCCATGGGCCATAGGGAGGGGCGGGGTGGGGGCTGGACTCCAGGGGGTGGGGGTGGGGGTGGGGTGAGGGCACCATTTGGAGCATAAGCCAGCTCCTCTCCTCCCAGGCCCTCCACCAGGCTACATACTCGTGTGCTCACATTCTTTCAGGCACACGCAGGGGCACACATACATGCATGCTTGTAGGTGCACACACTCATGCACACACAAATGCGGGTGTGAAGTGCTCATGTGTACACACATGTGCCCTCACGTGTATACTCACATGTTAATGCACGTGTGTACACATAAACACACCCACACCTGTAGGTGCAAACATGCGTATACACCTTTGTGCACACACCTACTCACAGTTGTGTACACACACATCCACACTCACGTGCACACACTCATGCATGCGTGCTTACATGTGTACACACACGCACACTTACATGCACAGCTCCACATGCACACATGGTCACGTCAGCCTCTCCAGAACGCAGGGGGAGGTGTGTGTGAGCTGAGGGGCTGAGCGCGAAGCCCTGTGAGGCTCAGTCCCTGCCTGGGTCCAGTGGGAGTGAGTGGTGGGCCACTGGCACCGCGGCCACCGTCAGCCTCCCTGACCCTGAGTCATCACTACCCCCTGGCTGCGGCCTGCTCAGCAGGGCCTCATGTCACCTGGCAGGCAGGGTGTGTGCTGTGTGCTGCGGATGGTGCGCCTGAGTGCCTCTCCTGGCACGTGGGCGTGGCCCCCCGCTGTGCAGCCTCAGAGCAGACTTGGCCTCCCGAGGTGCCACTACCCAGTGCCCAAGATTCAGTCCTGTCCTGCTCGCTGGGCCAGATGTGTCCGGGGGCTCTGCATCACCCACCTGATTTCAGTCATAGCACAACGTCTGCCATGGGACCGTCCCCCACCCTACACCACCCCCACCGCTGTGGGCTGGATGGACCCCAGGGGGCTGTGGTGACTGGGGCTAACTCCTGAGCCCGGGTCAGGATCTGTGTTGGTCAGGTGGATGATGGCCACCTGGATCTCTCTCCCTGAGCCCCTTAGCTGTGGGTTGTCCCTCCCCAGGGGCTGTGGGGACTTGCCACTTGGCTTCCCTATGGGACATTGTCCTCCGGGGCCCTGCAGCCTCGGGTGACCTCGGAGAAGCCGGCACAGCCCTGTGGTCTTAAAGCAGAGGGCCTCACGGGTGTGTCAGGGACGACAAGCAGAGCCGACGGGAGAGCCAACACTGCCCGGTGGCAGGGCCCTGGGCACGGCCACCACTCAGCCCGGGAGCAGGCCACCCCGGGTGCCCATCCGCCGCCTGCCTGGCTCATGCCCGCTGTGCCTGTCTCCCCAGAGGGCGGACCCGCAGCTGCTCGCCCAGTTCTACTACGCCGACGAGGAGCTGAACCAGGTGGCCGCCGAGCTGGACAGCCTGGACGGGCGGAAGGACCCGCAGCGGTGCGCGCTGCTCGTCAGCCAGTTCCGCTCCTGCCAGGTGAGCGCGCGGGGCCGTGCCGGGGCGCTGCGTGCCGGGGGGGACCTGGATGGCGAGCCAGCAGCCAGCCACCCTTTCTGGGGTGCTCGCGTCCTTTGTGACGATTTCCATCTGGTGTCATTTTCCTTTTGCCCAAAAGCCTTCCTTCAGCATTTCCTGTCACGCAGGTTTACTGGTCGTGACTCCCTTCAGCCTCTGCCTGCTGACAGAGTGCTTGCCTTCGATTCTGAGGCACGTGCTTGCTCGGCTCACGATGACACGTTGTCACCCGCTTCCCCCCTGGGCACCGTCTCACTGGCGTTGTCTCCAGCCAGAAGCGTGACGTCATCCTTGTCCCTGTTCCCCGTGGGGAGCGTGTCTTTTTCTCTTTCGCTACTTGTAAGGTTTTCTCTTTTTATTAGTTTCGATCAGTTTGACCATGCTATAATTTGGTGTATGGTCTCTGTGTTTCCCATGCTTAGGGTTCCCTGGACTTCTTGCATCTGTGAATTTACTTACTTACTTACTTATTTATTTATTTATTTTTATCCTCACCCGAGGACATTTTTCCATTTTTTGTTCAGGCAGAGTGGGAGGGAGAGAGAGGAACAGAGAGAGAGAGAGAGAGAAACATCGACGTGAAAGGGACACATCGAGTGGCCGCCACCCGCATGACCGACCAGGGCCGGGGACAAACTGCAACCGAGGTACGCGCCCTTAGCGGGAACCGAACCCGGGTCTCTCAGGACCGCAGGCTGACACGCTCTAACCGCTGAACTAAACCGGCCAGGGCTAATTTTTTATTTATTGATTTTAGCGAGAGGGAGAAAAGAGAGAGAGAGAGAGAGAGAGAGAGATATTTGTCGTTCCACTTATTACGCATTCATTGGTTGTATGTACCCTGACTAGGGATCAAACCCGCAACCTCGGTGTATCACGATGATGCTCTAACTGAGCTACCTGACAAAGGCTTGCACCTGTGAGTTCTCAGTGAATTTGGAAAAAAAATGGCCCTCATTCCTTCAAATATGTTATTCTGTCCCCTTCCTCCTCCTTTGGGGTCTTGAATTATATGTGTATCTGACATCTTGAAGTTGTCCTATAGCTCACTGATGATCTTTTCTGTTACTTTATTTTGTCTCTGATTCATTCGGAGAGTTTCAACTGCTTCGTCTTCAGGTTCATTGTTCTTTTCTTCTGAAATGTCTAATCTGAAGTTCATCCCACCCAGTGTATTTTTTTCATCTCAGACATTGTCATTGTTATCATCTCTAGATTGGCTTAGGTCCTTTTTATTTCTTCATTGTCTCTATGTAACTTCCTGCACATGTGAGTGTCAGTTAGCACTGCGGTCTCGGTGTGTCGTCTGCTCATCCCAGTGTCTGCGGCAGGTCTCGGTCCATTTGACTGGCTGCTCTCCTTTGATCACGTGTCATGTCGTCTTAATTCGTTGCAGGCCTGCTAATTTCCACTGGATGCCTGACACTGAATTGCTGGAAGCCCGATGTTTGTCTTTCTTTAAACCTTTTGAGCTTTGTTTTGTGCTTCAGTTTGGTTACATAGACAGTTTGAACTTTTAGGATCCTGTTTCCTAATCTGTTAGGCAGGATCGGAGGTGTGTTCAGGGTGCGAATGATTGTCCTGCACTACGAAGACAGATACTCGGGTCCTCTAGCTGTGCTTGTCTCCTGTCCCCGCTCCAGGAGAGCGCTGGCCCCTGCTCCCTCGAGTCCTTCCGTTCCATTGCCTGGGCCTCATGGTGGTCAGTCCCTGCTGACATCTCAGGCCCCTGATCTCAAGGGTTGTCCTGGGGCAGTGCTCTCTTCTCTGGTACTCTGTCCTCTGGAAGCTAGCTGCCTCGGTTTCCCTGGACTCTCAGCTCTGTCTCTTCAACCAGGACATTTTCAGGGGTAGCCCCCCCCCCCCGCTTGTTCTCTCCTCTCGGAGATCACTTGTTGCCTGACATCTAGTGTCTTGCAGACCGTGTTTTATTTATTTTATCACTGTTGTTGTTGGAGGGGTTGGGGATTGAACCTGCAGCCCAGGTACATGCCCTCGACTGGAATCAAATCCACGACTCTTTGGTCTGCGGGCTGTCACTCTAACCGCTGAGCCAAACCGGCCAGGGCCACCCCACTTCTTTATCCACTCGTCTACGATGGGCAGCTTGGTTGCCTCCATGTCTTGGCTGTTGGAGATAATGCTGCAGTGAACATGGGGTGCTTATATCTTTTCCATTAGCGTTTTGCTTTCTGGAGCCCTGGCTCCCCAAGAGCTGGCGTGTGCTGAGTGGTAACTGCTGTTCCTGCCATTGTTTATCCATCACTGTGTTAAATCAGGAGAAGGGGAACCTTCCCACCCAGAAACCTTTTAAAAAGAACCCACACTAGTACCCCTGCCTTGGGTTCAGTTTGGTCTCGTGCTTTGCAGGCCAACGTGCTCCGTGCGGTCGGAGCCTCTTCCAGCCTTGGTGCGTTCCTTTGTGTCTCGAAAGGCCGCGCTCCCGCGTGGTGACTGCTCACATCTGCTTCCGCAGAAAAATGGAAGGAGCCTCGGAGGCGGGGGGCGGGGGGGATGCACAGTTTAACTTTGCTGAGGGCGAGAGTGTCCGTTGGCCTGACCTTTCTGGACAGCAATCTGGCGGATTGTAATCAGAGCAAGTGAGTGCCATTCACACTCTTGACCTTGTAATGCCATTTACAGAAGTGAGGGGACCCTCAGGTATAGCCTCAAACTCAGTGTCACGCACCACGGCAGTGGGGAAGAGTTGGACACATCACGGGTGTCCAGCAGGGGAGGACGCAGGGAGTTAAGGGACGGCCAGGCGCTTGAGTCTTGCGGCTGCTGCCACAGGGTAGATTGGTGAAGAGCATCACATGTCCCAGCAGCAGTGGCAGCCGCAGAGCACAGACCCGTAGCGGGCACGCAGGACGAGCTCAGCTGGCTGAGCAGGCCTTCGGGGATGTGCCCGCCCCCCTGCTCTCCCCCAGGGCACCCGTGTCTCTGCTTCCCCCCTGTCCCCGGCGTTCCTGCAGGAAATGAGCATTACATTTATCTTTGACAAAGGAAAAAAACCTCCAAAATAAATGTCAACGTCCCTGTAATTCTGCAGAATGAATGGCAGTTGTTTGAAGAAAAGGACAATTTTAAAGAAGAGAATGGAATGTAATTTAAGATGTCATGAAAACAGGCGCATTGCCCTTTATACACAGAGTGCTCAAGATAGTCTGCACCCTTTGTGTTTTGAACAGGAGGAAAGATGTAAAATACTTTTGAAGAGTCTTTAAAACAAATTACCATTATTGGGCTTGCCATGAGCCAGGACGGAGCCACGAGTTTTTCAGATTTGAACCACGAGTTTTTCAGATTTGAGCTCAAATGGTGCTCCCGGCAGCCAGAAATCACGATGTCCCTTTGACAGCCGGCCAGGGATCGGAGAGGCTAAGCGGCCTGTCCCAGGTTGCACAGCCAGCGTGAGGCTGTTCAGGGCCTCTGTGTCCCTGAAGGAGGCGGTGCCTCTTCGCTGCTGGTTGATTGACAGGTTGCCGTGATTGATCTGCTGAGACAGGTTGAGAGCTTTGCCCAGGTGCCCTGCCTGCGGAAAGTCTGAGCCCCTGGCTCCCACGATCTCTGATGCCAGAACTGTGGCACCTGCATGGCCGGTGGGCATGTGCAGCTGCACCGTCTCATGAGCTGTTACTTTGTTACCTGTCTGCCAAGGCTGCAGCCACATTGTAGCGTCTTCCCTCCGGTTTCAGGACAACGTGTTAAACATCATCAACCAGATCATGGATGCGTGCATCCCACAGGACCGCGCCCCCAGGGACTTCTGCGCCAAGTTCCCCGAGGAGATCCGGCACGACAACCTGGCCGGCCAGCTGTGGTTTGGCGCCGAGGTAGTGGCGTCCACCTGGTCCAGGGCCACGGCGCTGGCATTGTTTACTCGCTTATCCTTGAGCCCTGGTCTGCCCTGGACTGTGGCCCTGAGTGTGGCATCTGGGTTGCTCCTGTGGGCTGGGGGGGAGGGGACAGGTGTCACATGACCGGGGGCTCAGGCATCCCTCCCCTCCTGCCTGCCTCTGGGTCCTGGCCACAGTGAGAACATTTGTGGTCTCTGCCATTACTGTCTGGACCTAAGAGAAACCCGGGCTGGGTGCCCACATCTTTGAAATGCCTGCCCCAGAGGGAACAGAGGGGACTATGAGGCAGGGGTGCCCAGGAGAGAGGACTTGGGGGAGGCATCTTGGGGATGATGGCCACACCCCAGCCTGGCCACCACCACCCTTCAGCCTTCCTGTCCATGTGTGCCCAGCTTTGGGGACCACAGTCCTCTCCTGGGGGTGTGGGTGTTGGTTGACCATGCTGGAGCTCCTGCTCTGTGCTGGCTGAAGGAGCTGGGGTGGGTGTCACTGGGCCTGGGATGGGCGGAGGCTGGGAGGGCCCCATGGTGACCCAGCGCGATGTGGTGACCCCTGAGAGCTGGCCACCACTGAGCAGCTTCCTCTGCCCACAGTGCCTGGCTGCCGGCTCCATCATCATGAACCGGGAGCTGGAGAGCATGGCCATGCGCCCGCTGGCCAAGGAGCTGACCCGCAGCCTGGAGGAGGTGCGGGGTGCCCTCCGCGACCAGGCACTGCGTGACCTCAACACCTACACGGAGAAGATGAGGGAGGCGCTGAGGCACTTCGACGTCCTGTTTGCCGAGTTTGAGCTGAGGTGACCTTGAGGGCCACCTGCGTGTGCCCTAGGCATGGGGGGCATGGCCTTGGCTTTCTGGGGATAGGGTATGCCAGCTCTGCAGGGCTTTTCTGATATTTCCAGCTAGAAAATTCTGCAGAGGGAGGAGCCGTGGCCGGTCAGGGCCGTCTGCAGGTGTAGTAACCCCTGGGGCACACGGCGTGGGGCTGTGGGGGTGGGCTGGGGCACCTCCAGTGGGGGGAGATGCGCCTTGAAGACAAGGGACGGTGCCCCAGGGATAAAGGAGGCCCCAGGTGTGCACCCCACTCACCACCACCTCCCCTGCCGGGCACAGCTCAGTGGTAAAGCCCCGGGAGGGTCCTGCAGGTTAAAGTCACTGTGGTGCCACCAGGAGCCTGAGTCTGCGTCAGTCTGCCACCGCTCCCCTGCCCCCTCTGACCTCCCTGCGCCACCTTCCAGCCTGAGCCTGCACTCACCCTGTCATTGGTCCCCAGCTGCCCCTCGCCCACCAGTTCATCTGCTCACCCCACAGTCACCTGACGTGGGCTCTGTGTGCTCAGATCTGGGGCACAGTATAAGCAAGAGGAAGCGACCGCTGCTCTTGGGGCCCATTGGGACACCCAGCTCCATGGGATGGGGGGCACCGCCCACATCAGGGGAGTCCAAGGATCAGCCGGCCCCTCTGCACCCCACCCCCACACGCTCCTGCGCTGGCACCACCAGCAAGCTCTGAGCGTCCACCCGCCCTGTGCTCATCCCCCTTCTCCCCATGCTTGTCCCCCACTCCCCGGAGAGCTGCCGCTCCTTCAGAAGGCGGAGCCTGCCCCCTCTGCACGGGTGTGTCCCCAGTGCCCCCAGCCCACACACAGGCCTCTGTGGGGAAGGGATCAGGAAAGCCCGATCGACGGGGGGCAGGCACGCTGCGAGCACCCGCACACACAGAGACCCCCGTGGTTGTCCTGGTTAAAGGAAATCGTCCACCTCGTAGCCTGTTGGCTTCCGGAAGGAAACCCACCCAGACGTTAAAGGGGTCCTCTCTAGAAAAGGGAAAAAATTTTATCTTCTTATCATCTCAAGATTTTCCAAACCACCTTTCATAACAAGAAAAAATTAGAGTTAGTGATTTATTATTATTTTTTAAGTCAAATTTTTTTTTTCTTTGTTGATTCTAGAGAGAGAGAAAGGGAGAGGGAGAGAGAGATAGAAACATAAATGAGAGAGAACATCGACTGGCCGCCTCCTGCATGCCCTGGGGACCGGGCCCACAACCTGGGCATGTGCCCTGACCGGGAAATGAACTGGTGACCTCTTGGCGCAGGGTTGACGCTCCACCATGGAGCCACACCGGGCGGGCTAGAGTTAGTGATGTAGAAGGAAAGAAAGATCTCCTCCTCACCTTCTCACACCCACTCGCACACGTGCCCGGTGCGGCTCCGCGGCCCAGATGCCTGTGGCGGGCTCGGCCTCGCTCGCCCGCCTGTGTGTTTCCCTCGCTCCTTCGTCTGTTCGCTGGCCCACTGTCAGGGCTAGTGCCCAGGCAGCGACAGTCACAGAGGTGGGCAGTGGCAGCCCCGGGCGATCAGGGCTGGGGCAGGGCTGGGCTCGGAGGCGCTGGAGAGGCCTGACCCTGGGAGCAGCTGGGGTTGGCCTGGTGGCCGTGCGGGCAGCTGTGGACACGGGTGAGCGGAGGCAGTCCAGTCTGGTTTCCTCTGAGGCCCCGAGGGCAGCACTCACTGGCTCTGTATTTGCAGCTACGTCTCGGCCATGGTGCCCGTGAAGTCCCCAAGGGAGTACTACGTGCAGCAGGAGGTCATCGTGCTGTTCTGCGAGACGGTGGAGAGGTGAGGGGCCTCTGGTCCCACGGCCCGGCCGGCTCCAGGCCTGTCACGGGGAAGCCCCACAGGAAGGCAACACGTCCTTCCCCTCCCTTGTCCTGTTCCCTGGGGTGGGCTACCCCGAGAGGCCCCTGCTGGCCTTGTTCCTCAGCACCCCCCCCCACCCGCCATTCTCTTCTCTGGGCCGAGGGCAGATCCTGCAGCTGCAGTTCATGTGGCAGAAAATTCCCGAGATAGAGGACAGAGCTGCAGAGGCTCGGCTTGGAGGAGCTGGACTTCCTCACCTCCTCCGAGTCCTCAACTCCTCACCTCCACTGAGTCCTCACCTCCTCACCTTCTCCGAGTCCTCACCTCCTCACCTGCTCCGAGTCCTCACCTCCTCACCTCCTCCGAGTCCTCACCTCCTCACCTCCACTGAGTCCTCACCTCCTCACCTCCTCTGAGTCCTCACCTCCTCTGAGTCCTCACCTCCTCTGAGTCCTCACCTCCTCACCTTCTCCGAGTCCTCACCTCCTCACCTGCTCCGAGTCCTCACCTCCTCACCTCCTCCGAGTCCTCACCTCCTCACCTCCACTGAGTCCTCACCTCCTCTGAGTCCTCACCTCCTCTGAGTCCTCACCTCCTCACCTCCTCTGAGTCCTCACCTCCTCTGAGTCCTCACCTCCTCTGAGTCCTCACCTCCTCACCTCCTCTGAGTCCTCACCTCCTCTGAGTCCTCACCTCCTCACCTGCTCCGAGTCCTCACCTCCTCACCTCCTCCGAGTCCTCACCTCCTCACCTCCACTGAGTCCTCACCTCCACTGAGTCCTCACCTCCTCTGAGTCCTCACCTCCTCACCTCCACTGAGTCCTCACCTCCTCTGAGTCCTCACCTCCTCACCTGCTCCGAGTCCTCACCTCCTCACCTCCTCCGAGTCCTCACCTCCTCACCTCCACTGAGTCCTCACCTCCTCACCTCCTCTGAGTCCTCACCTCCTCTGAGTCCTCACCTCCTCACCTCCTCTGAGTCCTCACCTCCTCTGAGTCCTCACCTCCTCACCTGCTCCGAGTCCTCACCTCCTCACCTCCTCCGAGTCCTCACCTCCTCACCTCCACTGAGTCCTCACCTCCACTGAGTCCTCACCTCCTCTGAGTCCTCACCTCCTCACCTCCACTGAGTCCTCACCTCCTCTGATCCTCACCTCCTCACCTCTCCGAGTCCTCACCTCCTCACCTCCTCCGAGTCCTCACCTCCTCACCTCCACTGAGTCCTCACCTCCACTGAGTCCTCACCTCCTCTGAGTCCTCACCTCCTCACCTCCACTGAGTCCTCACCTCCTCACTCGAGTCCTCACCTCCTCACCTGCTCCGAGTCCTCACTCTCCTCACCTCCTCCGAGTCCTCACCTCCTCACCTCCACTGATCCTCACCTCCTCTGATCCTCACCTCCTCACCTGCTCCGATCCTCACCTCCTCACCTCCTCCGAGTCCTCACCTCCTCACCTCCACTGAGTCCTCACCTCCACTGAGTCCTCACCTCCTCTGAGTCCTCACCTCCTCACCTCCTCTGAGTCCTCACCTCCTCACCTCCACTGAGTCCTCACCTCCTCTGAGTCCTCACCTCCTCACCTCCTCCGAGTCCTCACCTCCTCACCTCCTCTGAGTTCTCACCTCCTCACCTCCACTGAGTCCTCACCTCCTCACCTCCTCTGATCTCACCTCCTCTGAGTCCTCACCTCCTCACCTCCTCTGATCTCACCTCCTCACCTCCTCTGATCTCACCTCCTCACCTCCTCTGATCTCACCTCCTCTGAGTCCTCACCTCCTCACCTCTCATCTCTCTCACCTCCTCACCCCCTCACCTTCATACTCCTCACTCGTCCCTCCTCATCTCCCCACCTGCTCTCCTCCTCACCTCCACAGGTCAGAAACCTTGCTGGGGTTCGGGTCTGCTGAACGAGGTTTTGGGGGTAAATCACCAGTATTCTCATCATGCCTTGTTCATGCCTTGAAGTCAGATTTTCTGAATGAACTTTGGGACTGAGATTTAACCTAGAGTGTTCTTTGCATTTGACTGAAACAGTGGTGTTAGGTTAGTTTTGAGATTGCCTAACGTCACCTCTTAAGTGTGTTAGTTTTTAAAGACGGAGTATCCGTGTTTATGTAACGAGAGATGTTTCAAATCACCAGAACACAAGATGACAGAGGACGCTCTGACTTGCACCCTGGTGCCCGCTCTCAGGGTGTGAGAAAGCCCCTGCGTCTGCCGGGGTGGGACTGGCCAGGAGAGTGTCTCGGTCCCAGGGGCCACTTGTTTGGGGTGTTTGTTCCCCGTTTCTTGCCACCCCCCCCAAGTTGTCCAGTCCCCAGAGCCCGCGCCCGGATTAGCTCTCCTACTAGACCTCGTGGCTCCTTTCAGCCCCCCTCCCATGCTCATCCCCAACCTGCCCAGAGCTGGGATCAGGCAGGGCAGCCGAGGGCAGCACGGGCCACCTGTGCCTGCAGTGGGGGGGCTCAGGACACGCGCGTCATACTCCTGTCTGCGGTGATGGACTCGGGTGAGCTTGACGGGCTGCCTTCTCAACCCGTCTGACCCGGGACACGGCTGGGGGACCAGACCCCACCCCGCCTCACTGTCCCTCTTCCTTGTTCAGGGCCCTGGACTTCGGGTACCTGACCCAGGACATGATTGACGACTATGAGCCGGCCCTCATGTTCACCATCCCCAGGTTGGCCATCGTGTGGTGAGTGTCCCCCTCGCCTGGACGACCCTTTTGCAGACACCTGGCAGGGCCGTCTAGTCTGATGACCCCTCTTGGGCGCTGATAAGTGGCACTCACAGCCCTGAGGAGTGGCGGTGTCCCTGCCCAGCACTGTCCTCAGGAAGTCCTGCTGGCACCTCTCCGCACGGGGAGCATGTGCCCCTCGGTGAGGCCCACCCTAAGTGGCACTGACACCTGACATCCCCGCCGGACAGGTGGCTCGGGGAGGAGGACCCCGCACCCTGCAGGGCCGCGCGGTGCCCGGAGCTGAGTGGCCCGCAGGGGCCGTGGGAGGCGGCGCCTGCCTCCGAGGAGGCTGTGATGGGCTCGCTTGGAACCTTCTCAGGTGGGCAAGGAGGGGACCCCTGTTAGGCTGGAGACCAGGTGCGCTGCTGCTGGCCTGGCTGAGGGGAAAAGCCTGGGTAGGGAGCACACCTGGCAAGAGCAGGGGGGCTCAGGGTTCAGTCTTGGGGGCTGGGGAGCTCAAAGATGTCAGGGCAGCAGTGGGTTAGGCCTTAAATACACTGAGGCAGGAAGCGCTCGGCCACTTGCTGAGCATCTGAGACCCTGGGTGTCCTGGGCCCGGTCTGCTGCCGCCGCCACACCTTGACCCCCAGAGGTCAGCCGTCCCCCCTGGCAGGGGAGGAACTTTGGGGTGGGTGGTCACTAGGTGTAGGAAGAGGAGTGGGCCGTGGGGACCTGGATGGGAGGGCGGATGGCATGCAGGCGTGGAGCTGGGCCGAGAGCAGGGGACACATGCTACCTGGAGATGCGGACATCAGGAAAATGTTCCTGCGGGGTCCCTGCGGGAACCCTTCTCATGGGACATGGGTGCAGTGGCGGGAGTGGTTGGGAGCTGTAGCCATGCAGCAGGCAGGGGGTCACTGGCACAGAGGGGTTCCCATCACAGGAGGAGGGGCAGCCAGCAGGGTCAACCCTGCCCTGGGCCGGCCAGAACCACCTCTGCAGCCTGAGACTCTGGACAGTGAAATGCCAAGGAGACCCGTTGTGTCCTGGGCAGGACAAGGACTTCAATGCAGAGAGGGGCCTTGGCTAAAGACCTGGATCCATGGGGTGGGTGGAGCTGGACTGAGCTCCACCCTCAGGACAAATGGGTCCAGCCTCATCCCCCACACTTGTGGCCTCCCCTGGGCATGGTCCCCCAGCTGCCTTCCAGGAGGTCTCCAGGGGTTTCCACGCCCACCCCAGCCTGCCCAGCCCCATCCCGTTTACTGTCCGCTGTCCTGGGGTCTTCTCCCCAAGTTCATGAGCCGAGAAAAGCCAGGACATTGTCACGTCGAGGGGCGGTGGTGCTTTGAGTCATCATAATTGCCAGGAGTTGACGATTTCCTCTACGTAAGTGTGTGGGAGGTGAAGGCTGGACGTGCCCAGCAGACCTGGGGTGAAGTGCCCCGTAGACGGCGGCTCGCATGGGGCCACAAGGTTGGTCACGTCGTTTTCCTTCGTGGCAACTGGCTCTCTAAGGCCAAACTCATTTTGAAGAAAATGAGTATTTTTGGTTCTTTGTTTAAAAAAAAAAAACAGTAAAGCCCTGCCCGGTTTGGCTTAGTGGTTGCAACATCAGCCCGTGGACCAATGAGTCATGGGTTCGATTCCAGTCAAGGACACGTACCTCGGTTGCGGTTCGTCCTCGGCCCTCATCGGGTTGTGCGGGAGGCAGCCAGTCGATGTGGCTCTATGACATCGATGTTTCTCTCTGTCTCTTTCTCTCTTTCTCCCTCCCACTCGATCTGATGATAAATAGAAAAATATCCTCAGGTGAGGAATAATAAAAAGACAAAAACAAACAAACAAACAAACCAGTTTAAGTCAGGATTGACGGGGTCAGGGGTCTGTGAGCACCGGCGTCCCTGCCCCCTGGTCCAGGCCACGCGCCTTCTAGGTCCCCTGGCGAGCACAGCACGCGTTCTCAGCCACTCGGCCTGCATGGCGGGTGTCATCACGCCGGTGGTCTGGGCGGATTTCCTGCGCTGACCCTGCCCGCTCGGCACAGCCCAGTGCCACCATGGCCTCTGCTGCCCACTGGCGTCGAGCCCGACTGTGGGCCAGACGGTGTCCTGGGTCTCGGACACACCGTCTCAGGGGAACATGACACTTTCAGGCAGCACCTGTTTTAAAATAAAAGTGAAGCATCAAAGAGCCAACACTGTTTGTGGATTTTCGTACCCAAGTCTGTGGCGCGTGTGTCTGCAGCGGTTTATGATCTTCCTCCTCGTCTTTGCTGTCGGCCGAGCTGGGTGGCCGCAGGACAGTTCTCACCGAGCAGGCCCCCTGCACCGTCCCGGACCCCCTGCTGGCACCTGAGCTCCTGCCCCTCTTCTATCCCTCAGTCAGCGGTCAGGGCCCTAGTCCTGGGAGGTGGGGTCCCATCGGATTCAGGTTGGAGGGGCCTGGAGCGGGGTGGAGGTCACTGCAAAGGGAGGCCGGGCTCTGAGCTGTAAAGGGGGAGCAGGTGACAGTCCGGCTGCCTGGAGGGGCAGCAGGAGCGCAGGCCAGAGTCCAGAGCAGAGCGTGGTCCCGTCCAGCATGGGGACGCGTGCCAGCGAGAAAGCCCTCTGGCTCCACCTCCAGACTCGCAGGGGATGCTGGGAAGCAGGCCTCTGACCCCGGAGCCAGGCTGCAGTCGAAATTCCCCTTCCTCCCAGAAGGAGCCGCCCCATTTGGGGACACTCACCAGGTCTCTGCAGGACCCACAGCCCAGCCCTGCCAGCGGCTCCCTCTCATCCCTCATTGGCCACCAGGCGAGACAGGCTGAGGCCCTGCCGCCCAGCTGTGGCCCAGGACTCGGTTCTACCCTCACCCAGCTGGGCTGATGCCTGCTCACCCTGCCAGGTGCCTGACCCGGTGACGCCCAGGAGGGAGGTGCACAGGCCGGAAGGACAGCAGTTGCCCTGAGTGCAGGGACCCTCTGGGGTGGACAAGAACAGCATGAGGGAGAGGCCCCAGGGCGCTCAAAGAAACTCCCAGAACTGGCGGGGCGGAGCCACAGCGGGGGGGGGGGGGGGGCGGGGGGCACTCCAGGCGGGCTGCGTGTGCAAAGGGCTGAGAGCAGCTCAGCGGGCGCAGGCGCGAGAGGGGGGGTTCACAGGCAGTCCTCGAGATGTAGGTGTCCTGGGACCCCCAGGTGGCACCCAGGGAGCTCCCACAGCAAAGGGGAAGGCAGGGGAGCTGGAAGGGGTGCCGGAGCTGGGGGCGGAGTGTCTGCTGCCCCCTCCTTCCCCAGCCCCTGCCTCCAGGAGCTCCAGCCTCTTCCCGCCGGGAAGGAAAATGCTAGGAGATGCTCAGTGCACGTGCCCCCTGCCAGGCCCACAGGGGTCAGGGTGCCTCCAGAGTGACTGGCCCGTCCGACGTTGCTGTCGGTCCTGCTTCTCGGCAGAACTGACAACGTGGGAATCTCCAGGCTGCGATCTGGCCGTGGACCAGGTTTGACCCCAGAGGCGTGAGCCACGCGCGGAGAAAGGGCGAACTCAGACGCATCACAGGGAGAGTGCGCACCCACGGGCGTTGTCAAGAAAGAGAGAAGATGAGCACGGGGCGCGGTGGTGTCCCCCACGTGGGGATGTGGCCACTGGAGCCGCACCTGGGCCTCCTCGCCGCCCCCGTGGGCCCCACCCTCCCCGGGACCCCGGAGCCGGTCAATCCCCCTTCTTTTTGCACAGGAAACCCAGTCGTCTTTAAGGAAAAGGCCCTTTCATTCCGTTTCGCATGTCACTGTTCCTCACTGCGCTGGGTGTGGTCCAGAACTAACAGGGACCCCCTGCTGGGTGGGGACGACTGGACCCATGTGGTGGTCAGATCCCGTTCGTTTGCAGAGCGGGGTGCCCTGCTGGCAGGTGACTGGGTCTGGGCACCTGAGATGTGCCCAGGCTGAGCTGACTGGGCCCCCGGGATGGGTCTTCTCTCGGAGAGATGGGTCTGGATGTGGGTGGCACATGCTTGAGCTGGGCACGGGGCAGACGTGGCTCTACTACAACGTCAGGTGGCATCTGAGCAGTCAGGTGGGGAGCTGGGTCCCCGTCAGGGGGGAGTGGCTTTCAGGGAGCGAGCACAGACGCCTGGGGGAGAGGGTCCTGCCTGGGCCCACGGGAGGCTGCCTCTGGTCTTGAAGGGGGATGGAGTGTGGGCCAGACCTCTGGGAGGGACAGGTGGGCTGGGGACCCCTGAAAAGGCAGGGGGAGCTCAAAGCACACAGCTCCTCGTGGGCAGCCTTGAGGGGTTCAGGGGTGAGCCAGCCGGAGGGCTGGGACTGGATTGTCATAACCTGTGTGGGCCGGGAGCGAGGCGAGGCCTTGGCCGGTGTGGGTTAGACTCAGGGCAGCACCTGGACTGCAGGGGGCAGTCGGGGGGGATGAGACCAGAGGTCTGAGAGTCCTGTGGGCGGCAGCCGGGGATAACCTGGGAGCACCGCTGAGAAAAGTCTTGCCTGTCTGTGCAGAGTGTCCCTGAGATGCTCATCTCTGACCACACTGGGACCCAGACAGGGCCGCGCTGTGGAGGCTCGGGGACCCATGGGGCGGGAGGGCCGGGGCGGGGCTTCTGTCCTCGCCAGCATCGCGGAGGCCGTTTCTGCCCCAGCGGGACTGTGCCTTTGACTTCTTCTTGCTTGTGGTGGGTGGTTTCTGGTCTCGTTCTCAAAAACTCTGCTTTGGTTCAGTTAAAGCAAATCCCGGCCCAGCCAGTGTGGCTCAGTGGTTGAGCGTCGACGCTGCACCAAGAGGTCGCCGGTTCGATTCCCAGTCAGGGCACATGCCCAGGTTGTGGGCCAGATCCCCAGTGGGGGGCGTGCAGGAGGCGGCCAGTCAATGTTCTCTCTCATCAGTGTTTCTCTCTCTCTCTCATCAATGTTTCTCTCTCTCTCTCTCTCTTCCCCCCTTCCTCTCTCTTTCTAAAACCAATAAAGAAAAACATTAAAAAAAAAAAAGCAAGTCCAGGTTTCTGTTTTCCGGAGGCAGAGCTCAGGGACAGACCTGGGGCTGATGGGTGCGGGTACAGTGGCGACACGTCCGCACGCCTGTGGTCCCTCGAGTGACCGCGATGAAAACACGCTGCAGCCTGATGACATGCCCATCGCCCGCCCCAAACTCCTTCATGAGGCCACGTGGGCGAGCGTGTGCCGGGCCGAGCGAGGCCCAGGGCTGCCGGGCGCCCCAGCGGCCGCGGCGCCTGAACCAGGCTGGCTTTTGTGTGTTCACTGCAGCGGCCTCGTGGTCTACGCGGACGGACCCCTGAACTTGGACCGCAAGGCGGAAGACATGTCTGAGCTGTTCCGGCCCTTCCACACGTTGCTGCGGAAAATAAGGTGGGGTGATGGAGGACGGGGGGCTGACGTCGGCGTCCCCCAGCCCTCTGTTCTGGGGGTCGGGGGGGCAGTTACGAGACCCTTCTGCTCACCGGGGGCTGGAGCTTTGGTCTTGATCTCGGTGGTTGGTTGATGACGTCAGAGACCCTTTGATTTTTTTTATGTTTCAATTCCTCACCGGAGGATATTTTTCTATTTATCATTAGATAGAGTGGGAGGGAGGGGGAGAGAGAGAGAGAGAGAGAGAGAGAGAGACAGGAACATCGATGGGAAAGAGCCACATCAACTGGTTGCCTCCCACACGACCCCAACCAGGGCCGGGAACGAACCACAACCGAGGCACATGCCCTTGACCAGAATCGAACCCGCGACTCATTGGTTCGTGGGCCGATGCTCTAACCACTGCGCCAAACCGGCCAGGGCAAATCAGAGACCCTTTGTAGCTCTGTGCCCGTCATTCCCCATGGGACCAGGTTCTTTGTCCCTGGCCAGACGCATGGAGACCTTCCTGGGGGCCCCGCACCAGCCCTCTGCTGTGTCTCAGGGCCCTGTGCGGATGGAGCCTGGTTCACAGGACAGGCCATGGAGTGGGCGGAGAGTCGCCAGCCGTGCGGTTCTGAGAGGTGCTCTGTTCCGTGGGCTCCTTCTGGGTCGGCCCTGGAGTGTGGGACTTGGATGCCAGGCTGGCCCACGCTCCTCCCAGCACAGAGCACCTGCTCACCCCGCCAAGGTCACTCGAGCTTCTGGTCTCTGGTTCAATGCCCCTTCCTCCAGGAAGTCTCCCCAGACTAAGCCAGGTGCCCTCTATTTCCCTTGGTGTCGTTGTCATCATTGTAATTCAGTCATCACTGGTGTAAATATTGATCTTCTGCCTCGTCCAGTGCAACCTCCCACAGGCAGGAGCCATGCCCGTCTCCCTGGGCATGCCCAGTGCCTGGCACACACACAGGGTTCAGTAATCATTGTGGGACAAACACAAGACGGTCTAGATGGAAGCCAACACCCTTTTTCACTCCTAGATGTTTCTACTAATGCAGTTACCGCATCCCTGAGGACTGGTCTTTCTTGTTTTCAGTGAGTGGGTTCAGAACCTCCCTTGTTAAGAAGGAAACCTCCCCTCTGGAGCAGGGCTCACTTCCTGCGGAGGAAACGTGTGTGAACCAACCTCGCGTGGTCGGTGCCGCACTGCCCCCTGCTGGCGCAGGCTCGGGGCACTGTGTCCGCTCGCGGTGGGCCGGTGGGCCGTGTGGCCTTGGCCCTTCACTCCTGTGCTTGCCCCTCACAGGGATCTGCTGCGGACCCTGACGGAGGACGAGCTGCACACTCTGGAGCGGAACCTCTGCATTTCCCAGGACGTGGAGTTCCCCATCCGGGCAGACGTGCCGGGGCCCCCTGCCATGGCACCCGCCTTCCCCAGCCCCCTGCCCTCGGAGGAGCTGCTCTCGGCCACTGAGGCCAAGAACCCGGAGGCGGAGCTGGCCTGCTCCATGCAGTATGACGACCAGGAGCTGGAGCAGCTCACCCGCATGGTGCACCGGGCCGGGGACGAGATGTCCTCCCTGCTGTCTCCGCCCAGCGCCTGCCAGTCCCCCGCACGCAGGCTGGGCACCGAGGGCAGCCCCCGGGGGCAGGCCTCCCCCGGCAGTGGGCTGCTGCAGCCGGGCAGCGACCAGGAGGAGGAGGGACGGGTGTTCTTCATGGACGACGTGGAGGGGGCAGCAGAGGCCCCAGGCAGCCCATCTGTGTGGACAGGCAGCACCCCGGCTGACCAGGAGGGTGGGCAGGGCAGGGAGGCAGGGGTCCGAATGCCCGACACCCCGCAGGAAGAGGGAGACTTGAGCAATAACAACAACATCCAGGACCCAGATAGCAAGGTGTGGGCGGTGGGCCCCAACTCCTGCAGCTGCCTGGACTCGCAGCTGCACCTGGACGGCTGGGAGGTGACGGTGGACGATGCTGAGACAGCCGAGCTGATTGCCCACCGGACGGGGGGCATGAAGCTCTCGGCGACGGTCATCTTCAATCCCAAGTCACCCGCTCCCCTGGACGGTTCCGTCTCTGCTCAGGAAGCCTCTGGGAACGATGCGTCCCCATCGGAGCCCGTGGCTGAGGGGACGGAGGGCAGCTCCCACAAACTGAGTGCCGTGGCCACCAACTGCCTCCTTAACTCCTGCGTGTGCTGTGGGGGCTGTGGGGGCGGCAGGGAGGACGCGGCCGAGCGTCTGCGGGACAAGTGCAGCCCGGGTGGCGTCATCAGCGCCTCCTACGCGGGCTCGGGTTCGGCCAAGGGCAGGGCCGAGAGACTGGAGGAGGCTCGGCCTGCCCCGGAGGCGCTGCCCGCGGGCACCCCGGCCCCTCTGCCCTCAGAAGACACCCCCAACAGGCAGGAGCCCAAAGCTCCTGCTCCCAACAAGTGCCTGGCACCCACCTCAGGGCCCCTGGCGGACACAGCGGACAGGCCACATGAGCAAGAGGAGCCTGAGGCTGCCCAGCAAGAGGACGGGCAGCCCTCGGGGGCCGGGGAGGGGAGTCGGAGCCCGTCGGGCCCCAGGTAAGAGCCTCTGGCCACGGGACTCGTCCTCTGACTTTGCACCTGGGGCGTGCTGTTGGCCTTGGGGCCTCTCAGGTGTGTGGTGTGTCGCGGTGGGGGCGTCGTGGGGTATCGATGCTGCAGGCGGTCACGCGGCTCCTGTCAGGACCTCCTGGGCCGAGGGGAGGCATCGAGCCCAAAACTGTCCCCAGTGGGCCCCTACGGTGCCGGCACCTCTCAGGTGGTGGCTCAGCGTCAAGCACTTGGCCTGCCCCCTTCTGCCGCAGTGGCCCGTCCTGGCCCTGGTGTGACCCGTGCGTGGGTGGCATGGCTTTGTCTTGCTGACCACCTGGCACCCACCTGACCACAGGGCCACTCGGCTCCCGTGGACTGCACAGACCTCAGCAATGGGTTCAGAGCCCTGGGCGCCTCAGGTCCCGAGACCACCCTTGGGCAGATTCTCGGGCACTGCCCTCCTCCCCGGGTGCTCCTCTCTCCCCTAGAGGTCCTGACCAGGGGAGGTGAGCCCCTGGCCCCTGTGCATCTCCTTAGACTTCGAGCTTCTCTCAGTTTCATTGCTCCCACACCCCACTTTCCTGGAATGAGGCAGATTCAGCCAGCCAGTGCCCGCTCAGTCCTTGACATCGGGCAGAGTGCGGGGCTCAGCCATTGTATGGTCCCCACCGGTGGTCCTTTCGCCAGGGCCCTGCCTTTCCGGGCTCCCACCCGGGCCTCGGCCACGTCAAGGAGGTGGGGAGGGGTGGGGAAGGGAGGCTGCTCAGTCTGGATACCCGGCAAGGCCCCCTGCCAGGCTGGGCACAGAGGGTGGTCAACGGGGTCAGGCCCGGGAGGGATCTTCACACCAGGGGGAAGAGATCTCTGGGTGCAAGGCAGGCATTGCTGGGCTGTGCAGCCTCTGCCTCCTCCTGTTTGGCCTTGTCCTCCCAGAATGTGTGCGAGGAGCTGGCTAGGACCCTGTGCAAGTTGGGGCCTCTCCTCTCTCCTCCCATGAAAGCTCCCATGTTTGCGGCCTGGTCCACACAGCCTTTGTGCCACGGCCGCCTTTCCTGGTGGGGTCTGCAGTCACTCCCCACCCCTCGCCAGCCCCTCGCACCCGCTAATCTATTTTCTGGCTGCACAGAGTGGCCTGTTCTGGACATGTCATATAGAAAGAATCACACAATGTGTGACTTTTGGTGTCTGGCATCCTACTGAGCTCATCTATGTCGTAGCAAACACCGGCCCCACCTTCCTTTTCATGGCTGAGTAATATTCCGTGTAAGGTGGACCACGTTTTGTTCACCCATCAGTCTGTCGAGGCCTGTGCGTGTGTGCACGTGGGTGTGCATGTGCTGGTCCCACCTTCTGGCAGTTGGTAACGGTGCTGCTGTGGACATCTGGGGACAGGTTTTTGTGTGGTCATGTTTCCACTTCTTTGGTGTTTACATCCAGGAATTGCTGGGTCACTGGTTGAGATTTCTGAGGTGCCGTCGCCTGTTTCCCGCCGTCCTGCCTGAGGGTTCATTTCTCCACATCCTCACCAACACCTGTGATCCTTATAAGACATTTTGAAGTTTTCTGTAGAGCACTCCCACTGGAACTCACCTAAACCGCTCTGCCTGAGGTCAGGCGCAGCTCACCCCCAGGAGGTGCTTCTGTTCCCTGCAGCATTTGATGTGTGGGCACGGCATGGGCCCTGGGTCTCGCTGATACTCCGGGGAAACGTCTGTGTGGTTCCTCATCGGGTCTACAGAGTGAGACATAACCGGAGAATTCTGTCCCTTCACCTCTTTCTCACCCTCTCTTAAAGTAACGGTTTTAAATTTTCATAGCTTCTCTTTCAATTTTAAAAATAGAAGCAGTGATGCACATGCACCCACATGCACACACACACACCCACATGCACGCATACGCACCCACATGCACGCACACACCCACATGCATGCACACACCCACATGCATGCACACACATCCACAAGCACGCACACACATGCTTTTCCCTCCTGTCCTTTGGCAAAGGACCTCGTCTTGCAAACACTCCTCTCTGCTGTGCTTTGCTGAGCTAGCTTGGAGGCCTCCCATGGTAATTTCTAGAGGTGTGAGATGCAAGCCTAGCCACATCTGGTGGAACAAGCTTTTGTCCACAGCCAACTGGACGGCTCCTTCCCCAGGGTCTCTGGCTCTGTGGCCCCGTCGATGGGTAAGTGCGTCGCTTTTCTGCAAGGCTGATGAGAAAATATTACACTTTTTTTGACGGGGTCTGTGGGTTTCCATTTTTTACCCGCACCCACTTTTTTTGCTGTGTGTTCAGGTGACAGCCAGTGGACACCTGCTCTGTCTGGATTCCTCTCCTGCTTTCCTGACACGTCCTGCTGTGGGCACTGCCTGTGCACGTCACGCCGTCAGCTGCCCAGGCCTCTTTGGCTTAGCACTCATGCTGAAGCCAAGCTGAGAAAGGAAAGAGAACCCCACGGGGCCTTGAGAGACACCTCCAGGATTTCTAGAAGGCGCAGCGGGTCTGAGGAAGGAGAAATGTGGCAGGTGGCCAGGCTCTCAGCACAGCCCTGTTTGGCTCAGGACCTTGGACAGCGGTTCCCGGGCCGGCACTGCCCCAGGGCAGCTGGGAATCAGTCAGCAGGTGGCGCTGTGCCATCCATGGGCCCGGCACACAGCACAGCATCAGTCACATCACAGGCTGGTTCCTGTGGCTGAAGGAGGCTCCAGAGACCCAGCTGGGACCAGGATGGGCGGCCTGACCTCACCGAGCCTGAAGAACACTGAGACAGAGGGGACCAAGCTGATCTGGTAAAACAGACAGGCACACACGTCACCAAAGCTCAAACGGCGAGATGCCTGGAGCCTGATTGGCTTTGTTAGGTTACCCACACCTGGCAGATGGACAGACTGGAGAGCCTGGTGTGTGCCTCAGCTTGGGGGGCCTGCGGCGTGCGCCTGTGCTGCCCGTGACATTGTGCTCACTGTCCTCGGAGTGATGAGCTGTCCCGATCTGACCCAGAGGCTCACCTCTCCAGCAGGTGCTCCTGCGGCCCCTGCGCTGCGTGGCCTGTGCTCACCAGCTCCTGGCCCGTGCACGAGGCAGACAGGACCAGCCTCAGACCCTGTGCCGCGCTCTGAGCCGGTGCCTCAGAGACCACGGGGCTGTGCCGGGGCTCTGCTTGCCCTAAGGACACACGGAGCATGTTTTCCACGTCAAGCAGGACAGGGCGCCCAGGTGGACGGGCGGGCTGCACAGGTCCTGGAGGAGGGTCCAGCCAGGAGAAGCCGCTCTGCGGCACTTCCCCAGGCCCAACCTTCAGCCCGCTGCCCGCAGCCAGTTCCACCAGTGCCCTGGCACTGGGCAGACCGGTTGGAACCTTGTGTCCTCAGCTTCTCGTTACTGCCTTCCTTTTCTTTCTTACCCCTTCAGAGCTCACAGATGAGCCTTTTTGGAAAAAGTTAGCGCTTTTTTTTTTTTTTTTCTTCACCCGAGGACATTTTTTCCATTTTTTTGTTCAGGTAGAGTGGGAGGGAGAGAGAGAGAAAAAAACATTGACATGAAAGGGACACATCGAGTGGCTGCCTCCCGCATGACCAGCCACGGCCGGGGACAAACTGCAACCGAGGTACATGCCCTTAGCGGGAACCGAACCCGGGTCTCTCGGGACCACAGGCCGACGCTCTAACCGCTGAGCCAAACCGGCCAGGGCAAGTTAGCTCTTTTTAAAAGTTTATTGTACCTGTTAGACTCACCTCACTATCCAGAACTTTCCATACTCAAAGCCAGCAGAATCGGCCACTTGTCTAGAAAACAGAAATTTGTCTGTCTCAAGTGCATCTGTCCTTTCTCTGGACTTTTACTGATGTGTTTCCAACCTTCTGCCTTCTTAAAAAAGAACACTGACTCTTATTAATCCTCACCCGAAGACATCTTCCCATTTATCTTCATATAGAATAGGAGGGAGGGAGAGAAAGAGAGAAATTGATGTGAAAGAGACACCAACTGGTTGCTTCCCACATGACCCCAACCAGGGGATGAACCACAACCGAGGTACGTGCCCTTGACCAGAATTGAACCCGTGACTCTTTGGTCAGCGGGCCAACGCTGTAACCACTGAGCCAAACCAGCTAGGGCAACACTGACTCTCTTTTTTCTGATTATAATGCGGTTTCCATTCACTGTGGAAACTTATAGAAACATAAACGAGAATGGAGAAAGGAAATAAAAACCATCCCAAATCCTGTGAGCAGTTTTTTATTTTTTTCACCGAATATTATTTTACAATTATTCCTCCACAAAGCTCTTTGAAAACACAGTTTTGGCCCTGGCCAGTTTGACTCAGAGGTTAGAGCATCGGCCTGTGGTCCAGAGAGACCCGGGTTCGGTTCCCGCTAAGGGCACGTACCTTAGTTGCAGTTTGTCCCCGGCCCTGGTTGGGTCGTGCCGGTGGCAGCCACTCGATGTGTCCCTTCACGTCGATGTTTCTCTCTCTCTCTCTTTTTCTCTCCCTCCCTTACACTCTATCTGAACAAAAAAACGGAGAAATGTCCTCGGTGGTCCGCCGGTGTGCGGAGGGAGTCACATTCCCGAGGCGCGGGTCTGCGGGTGCCACGTTCCTGACCGCGCTCCTGCGCCGCAACCGCATCCCCGGCTGGCAGAGGGTCGGGAAGCACCGCAGCCGCACACCGTGTCCTTCCACGCCCAGCGCAGCGGGGTCCGCCGCCTGGAGACCGAGGCGAGAACCACTACTGGCTGAGGGTGCCCTGGCTCAGCGCCGCGCAGGAGTCCGGCCACGCTGGGTGCGCAGGGCGGCCGCCTTCCAGGCCATCAAGGCCGCCCGCGAGGCCAGGTTCCCGCAGCACAGGCTGCTGGCCGACCAGCTCGGCCACCTCGACGTCACCAAGAAGTGGTCCTAGCCCGGGCTGCTGCCGCCTCCAGGGAAACCGGCACCGCCAGAGGAATGGGACCTACGAGGAGACTCGGCTGGGGGTGGTAAGCGCCGCCCGACATGCGGATAATGTGTTGTGGAATTGTACACCTGAAACCTGTGCAACTTTATTAACCAGTGTCACCCCAATAAATTCCATTGAAAAAGAATGTGACCCTTGGACCGGAGTCGTGAGCAGAGCGTTGGGAACATGGGCGCTTCAACCTCCAGCTTCCTTTCTGTTGTGTTTGTTTCTCCACTCGGGCGGTGACGTAAGATGTATTTGGGGTGAACCTGCAATAAAACTGCAAACTATGGTTTGCGATCTGTGTATATGATAGTTGATGGGGGTGAATTTGCTTACCTTCTCTCAAGAATAGCTGTTTAAACGTAAATTCAAACAATAAGCTTTGTCAAACATATTGCTAAAAATAGCATTTTCTTCTGGGATTTGCCACCACAGTGGACGTTTAAATGAAGTAAGATGTTTTTTATAGAAAGAAAGAAAGGAAGAAAGGAAGAAAGAGAAAGAAATCCTCGGGTGAGGATAAAAACAACAACAACGAAAACCCACGATTTTGATAGACTTCGACTCTGTCATAGGACATGTGCTAATTTGTTCTATACTTGCCCGCTTCATGTCTTCCGAGTTCAGTGAGCCTTGAGGTCTGCGCCCTTCTGGCTCTGTGCTTGGATTATATCCTTAGAACCAGCGCTGGGGACAGAGTGACCCCTGCAAAGCTGTGGAGGTGTGGCTCTGCCGCCCGCGGTGAGGGCGTCCTCGGGGGCCTGCGCCCCTGGCTGTGGAGGCTTTCCCAGCTTGAGAGCAGAAGCAGCTCCTCCCTTGTGCCCCCTGACTTCTGTGCGCTGAGCCCATCCGCGAAGCCCTGCTGTTCTCCGGCTGCTTTCTGTGATCTCCTGGCTGACCTCACGTCCCCCCACGCGCTGCGGGTTGCAGGTCGCTTCCCCTGCCCTTTGGTCTGACTTAGTGAGGTCTTTTGATTTTTTTTTTCCTTCATTGATTTGAGAGAGAGAGGAAAGGAGAGGGAGAGAGATAGAAACATTGATGAGAGGGAACATCGATCAGCCACCTCCTGCACGCCCCCCACTGGGGATCAGGCCCACAACCTGGGCATGTGCCCTGGCCGGGAATCGAACCGGCGACCTCTTGGTGCAGGGTCGACGCTCAACCAGTGAGTTACATGGGCCAGGAGAGACCCCTGGCTCTCTGCCCTCCGACTCCCCTGGCTGACCACGCACCTGCTGGCCCTCCTCCCCGGGCAGGAAACACGCCCCGCTCCTCCCACCCCCCTGTGCCTCCACCACTCTGCACCCTGACCCGTCGTGCTCAGCTTCGGGGGGCCAGGCTGTCTTGTCTTCTGAGACCATCTCCAGCATCAGATTGGGACTGCAGGGCAGAAGCCCCTGGCACATGAGAGGGCTACCCCAGCTCTGGTTTAGGGGCCTCCAGGCTGTCATTTCGGACAGAATGACAGAATGGTGGGAATCTGGAAGGGCTGTCCTTGGCACAGGCTTCTGAGCGTCGGCCCTCAACGGTGGTGTACTCTGGGCATGTGCTCTGCCTTCCAGAGCCTGCCTGTAGCAGAGTTGACATTGGGGACATCTCCAGGGGAACTTCTGGCTCTGGCACTTCCTTCCGTTTTGGGAGCACCTTCGAATGCAGTGGGAGGGCGGGCCCAGGGGACCAAGGGTGCCTGTGGCCTGGCTGTTTGACCTGGGGGTAGTCATGTACCTCCCTCCGCCTCCATTTTGTCATCTGCAAAATGGGCTACAGTCCCAGCTCCATGGTGTCTGGAGGGGACCCGAGTGCTCATGCGATTTTCTCATCTCATTCCCGGTCTTACCTTGTACAGGACCTCAATACTCACTGTCACTGTTTGCTGCTGTCACTCAGCCGTTGTTACATCATTACCTCTGTTACTCAGGATTGTCACTCACCATCACTACTACTGTAACTCAGGATTGTCACTCACCATCATCACCACTGTTACTCAGGATTGTTACTCACCATCATTACCGTCATTACTCAGGATTGTTACTCACCATCATTGCCATCATTACTCAGGATTGTTACTCACCATCATTACCATCATTACTCAGGATTGTTACTCACCATCATTACCACCTTTACTCAAGATTGTTACTCACCATCATTGCCACTGTTACTCAGGATTGTTACCATCATTACTCAGCATTTTTACCATTATTGCCACCTTTACTCAGGATTGTTACTCACCATCATTACCACTTTTACTCAGGATTGTTACTCACCATCATTACCACCTTTACTCAAGATTGTCACTCACCATCATTGCTACTGTTACTCAGGATTGTCACTCACCATCATTGCTACTGTTACTCAGGATTGGTACTCACCATCATTACCACCTTTACTCAGGATTGGTACTCACCATCATTGCCACTGTTACTCAGGATTGTTACCGTCATTACCATCATTACCCACCATCACTACCATCATTACTCAGGATTGTTACTCACCATCATTACCACCTTTACTCAGGATTGTTACTCACTGTCATTACCACAGTCACTCAGGATTGTTACTTGCTATCATTACCACTGTTACTCAGGCTTATTACTCGCTGTCATTACCACTGTTGCTCAGGATCATTACTCTCCATCATTTCTGTTGTTGCTCAGGATTGTTACTCACCGTCATTACCGCAATTACTCAGGATTATTACTCACCGTCATTAGCACCATTGCTCAGGATTGTTACTCACCATCACTACCACCTGTCATTACCACTGTTACTCAAGATTGTTGCTCCCCACATCCCTTGCTATCTTGCTTTCTCAGTCTTTACTTTACCTCCGAGGACAGGGCAGGGCAGGGTATTGCCTGAGCCCCTTGCTGACACCAGCCTCGCAGCCTCGGCGAGCAGAATAACTAAAGTCCACATCCTCAGAACCCTACGAGGGGCAGTGAGAACCCTGGAGGGCCAAGTGGAGTGTCCCCACACAGCAGGCACTCAGTAGGCAGGGGTCCCGGGGGTGGAAGCTGCCCTTCTCAGAGGGGCCTCACCAGTGTCTTTGTGACTAACTCACCGCCAGCTGCTGAGCTGGACAGGACAGGCCTAGCCTGGCTGGGGGCAGTGGTGACTACAGGGCGACTGCTGAGCCCTGGCGCCCAGGACAGCTCCATCCTGGCCCTTTGCCTCCCAGGCCTGCCACCCTCATGATCCCACCCAGCCCTCAGGCCTGGTTCCTTACTCAGCTCTCCCTGCAGCCTGGCGTCTCAGGCGGTCTCACCACCCCACCCTGCTGTCTGTCTTCACCACAGCTCACCGCAGAACTCTGTGGTCCCCCTTCCCTCCCCTTCCCATCTGTCCTTCAGCCAGGAAGGAACGAGCGCTGTCTTGAGATGGAGAGTGCCTGTGGGCTGGGCTGTGGGGCGGCTCCTTCACTGAGAGCGACTGAGGGGCTGCCTCCCGCAGGCGGTGACATTCCTGAGACCTGGAGGAGGTGAGCCCAGGGTGGCAGGGCCAAGGAGGCAGCCCGGGCAGAGGGCATGGGAGGCGAGCAGAAGAGCAGGTTGAGGGCAGGGATCCTAGACAGGTTTGCAGGGCAGGGGCCTGGCGGCACTTCTCTGAGAGGAGGGTGAGTGTCAGACAGGGACATGTAAGCACAGCCGTGACACTGGTGGTTCAATATTGGTTTAAACAGCTTCACGGAAGCAAGTTGGCCCACAGCACACTGCGCAGCTGGGAGCCCCAGTTCCTTCCCATCCCCGCAGCCCTTGGTAAGGTTGCTCCTCTTCTCCTTGCTGTTCTAAGCTGGGAAGGTGCCAGGTGGGCGCTCACACCTTCCTGTGCACTCACCTGTCACCGGCTGGGCCCTGGGTGGAGCATCCGTTCCCATCTTGTGCTGTTTCTTTCTGTTTGTTTCCTTAGGGAGTTTCGAGAGCTCTGGTTCTAGATACAGGTCCTTTCTCAGGTAATGCTTTGCAGACCTCATTTCCAGTCTGTGGCTTGTCCTCTCGCGGTGAGAGTGTCTGTGAAGAGCAGAAGTCCTGAATTTGGAGGAAGCCCAATTTATCCACTTCCTCTGTGGATTGTGATTTGGGTACCCTATCTAAGAACTATTTTTATAACCCAAAGTCACAAAGATATATTTCCCCTCTGTTTTCTTCCAGAAGCTTTATACGCTTAGGTCTATGATCCATTTTGAGTTCATTTATGGTGTGAGGTGTGGATCAGAGTTGAGTTCTGTTTTGCATAAGAAAAGACAACGATTCTGGCACCATTTGTTGAAAAAAGAGGATCCTTGCTCCACTAGATTGCTTTTGCATCTTTGTCAAAAGTCATTTGGGTCGCCCTGGCCAGTTTGGCTCGGCGGTTAGAGTATCAGCCAACGACTAAAGGGTTGCTGTTTCGATTCCCAGTCAAGGACATGTATCTGGGTTGCAGGTTCCATCCCTGGCCACCATCAGGGTTGTTCAGGAGGCAACCAATCGATTTGTTTCTCTCATATCCATGTCTCTCTCCCTCCCTCCCTCCCTCTCTCCCTCCCTCCGTCCCTCCCTCCCTCGATCCCTCCCTCCCTCTGTCCTTCTCACTCTATCTAAAAATCAGTGGAAAAAATATCCTCAGGTGAGGATTCATTTTTAAAAATCATGCAGGTTTATTTTGAAACTCTCTGGCCTGTTCCACTGACATTTTTGTCTACATCACACCCTCTTGATGGTGGTGGCTTTATACTGAGCCATAAAGTCAGGCCGTGTAAGTCTCTCTGGCGTTTTCCTTCTTTTTCAAAATTGTTTGGGCTATTCTGGGCCCTGTGTATTACATATGAATTTTAGAGCCAGGTTGTCAATATCTTTTCTTTTTTCTTTTTTTTTAAAGCCTGTTAGGAATTTATTGGCATTATGTTGAATCTATATACCAATTTGGGGAAAATTAACAATGAAATAATATTGAATCTTCCAGTTCATGAACACAGTTTATCTCTCCATTTATGTAGGTCTTTAATTACCCTCAGCAAAGTTTTATGGTTTTGTTTTGTTTTTAATTTTTCTTTAATATCCTCAAGTGAGGTTTTTTTTTTTTTAATTTTTTTAAATTGATTTTAGAGAGAGAGGAAGGGAGAGGGAGAGAGAGATAGAAACATCGATGAGGGAGAACATCGATTGGCTGCCTCCTGCATGCCCCTCACTGAGGATCAGGCCCACAAGCTGGGCATGTGCCCTGACCGGAAATCAAACTGGTAACCTCTTGGTGCAGGGTCAACGCTCAACCACTGAACCACACCAGCCGGGCTTATGGTTTTTATTGCAGAAGTCTTACACATTTGTCATATTCATCCCTAAGTAGTTTCTATTTTTTGATGCTACTGTAACTGGTAGGTCCTGTTTTGTCATTTAAATTTCCAGTTGTTCATTGCTAATATATAGCAACATAAGTAATTTTTATATTGATCTTGTCTCCTGCAACCTTGCTAAACTCACTTTATTAGTTACAGTAGTTGTTTTTTTTTAACATTTTTTTTTACATGATGAACGTGTTATCTGTGAATAAAGCCAATTTCACCTCTTTGGAACTGGATGTCCTTTTTACTTCTTTGTCTTGCACTTGAGCCTGGCGAGGGTGGCACTGATGGAAGCGTGGGGTGTCTTTGCCCTGCTCTGCTCTCAGAGGGAGAGCACAGTGTCTACGAGTGTGATGTTGGCCGCTGGGCTTTCCCAGGTGCGTTTCTCGGGTTCAGGGAGTTCTCTTCTCTTCCCAGTTTGGCGAGTATTTATCAAGAACAGACATTGGGTCCTCTGTCTTTTGGGATGATCAGACAGCTCTTTTTTTTTTTTATCCTCACCCGAGGACATTTTTCCATATTTTGTTCAGGTAGAGTGGGAGGAAGAGAGAGGAGGAGAGAGAGAGAGAGAGAAACATCGATGTGAAAGGGACACATCGAGTGGCTGCCACCCGCACAACCAACCAGGGCCAGGAACAAACTGCAACCGAGGTACATGCCCTTAGCGGGAACCGAACCTGGGTCTCTGTGGACCATAGGCCGACGCTCTAACCGCTGAGCCAAACCAGCCAGGGCCAGACAGCAGTTTTATAGTCTATCATGTGATGCATTTCATTCATTGCTATTCAGATGTGAAGCCAAACTTGCATTCCTGGGATGACCCTCACGGCCATGAAGTAGCGTCCTTTCCATGTATGTTGGCTCCGATTTCCTAAAACGCTGTTAAGAATTTTGCATGTGATCACGAGGAACGTGGGATGGTAGTTTCCTTTTCTCCAATGTCCCTCTCAGGTTTGAGTATCCGCGAGAGATCCTGAGGTCCTGAGTGGGTCGGGAGCATCCCCACTCCTACAGTGTTCCGGAAGAGTCTGTAGAATTGGCATTATTTCTGCCTAAAATATTTGGTAGAATTCCCCGGTGAAGCTGTCTGAGCCTGGAGCCCTCTTTATGGGAAGGTTTTTATCTACAGCTTGAATGTATTTATTAGCTGTAGGTTTGTTCAGTCAGCCACCTCCTGCTCAGTGAGTGGAAGGGTTTACCTGCATGGTCCTTTGCCCCTGGTCCATCCTCCTGACTCCTCCTCCTCCTGTGAGCCAGGGATGTGCCTCTGCTCAGAATCAGGGCTCCCCGCTCTCCTTCTGCACCCCAGTTTCTGGGTGCTCTCTGCACTCTCCTCGTTTGTTCCTTGGGCCATCCCCTCCCTCTCTGCCATGACGCCCCCCCTTGCCTCTTCTACGCCGAGTCACCACAGTATGGCCTCACTTGCTGCCTTTGCTAAAGCCCGTGGACGCTTTGCTCCATGGCCTCATAGAATCTGCGGCCATGTCTTCATCATCATCCCTGCTTCAGAAATAGGCGCAGAGCCCCAGTCTGGACGACCCCTTCCATCTCTCTGACTCCGGTTTTCGGGCTTCCTGCAAGACCCCTGGGCCCCTCCTCAGAGCCACCCTCAAGTCTTGTGCCCCCACCCCGAGTCCCTTGGGCTCAGGGATGTGATGCAGGGTGCTGCTTGGGGAGCAGTCATCCCAGATCGAGCAGTAATGAGGCGGCCCCGGGCGTCTGGAGCGCGGGGCCCTGGGGCTCACGTCCCGTCTCACACCCTGATTCTCTCCCCGCCATCCCTGCCCTGCAACTGGCCTCCCCGGCCCAGTGCAGACACAAGGCATGCTGGTGGCCATCAGCCCAGCTCCCAGGAGGGACCCGGCTGGCGCCCTCGGAGGACCTGCGTCCCTAGCCCCGTCGGCCATGGGATGTGTGGGCACTTGTGGCTGGGGTGCCACCTTCCTGGGCAACTCCAGGAGAATAGGGCTGGCAGAGTCCTGGCTGTAGTGCATCCCCACCTCCTGCAGGTCCCCGGGGAGGGCTACAGCCCCCTGGTTCTGCCATCCTCTTCCTGCCCGACTCCCGGTTCCTTGGGGCACCAGGGGAGCCCCAGTCGGGCAGAAGCAGGGCTCTGTGATCGAGTGGGTGTGCCCAGTAGGCACTGATGGTACTCAGGAGGCTTGGGGGGGGGGGCGAGGGGCAGGACTTGGGCTGGCAGCAGCCTCAAGGGGTCACCTTCTTCCACCCCGGGGACCAGGAGAATTCCTGTCTGAACAGCCACTTCCCTGGAGCAAGGCCTTCCTCTCATCCTCACAGGGTTTAAATTGCCAAGTGGGGTGCAGCAGGAAGGCCAGGATGCCGCCCTCTGTCACCTTCACCCGCTGCTCTTACTCACCAGCCGCCGAGCCTCTGCTCAGAGAGCCCGCGAGGCTGACGCCGGCCGGTGGCCATCCTCCGCTTACGCGGCCGCTGCCTCGGTTTGCACCGCGCGTGTGCGTGTGCTCCGGCTTGTCGCTCGTGTGCGTGTGCTCCTCGGCAGCGCCTGGTTCTCCCGAGCGCACGCACAGTGCGCCTGCGCTAGGGTTAGGCTCCCGGAACAACCAGGGGGCCGCTCCAGAGCTGGCTGCCTGCAGGCCCCAGGGCCCGGTTGTGTACCCGGAGGAACCAGACCATGGCCACCACCCCTGCCCATGGCTCCTCGCTGAGAGGAGGGGCGTGGGCGGTGCCTGGCCTTCAGGGGGCCTGCGGGGCAGGTGGCACCAGGGTGAGGGCAGCAAGCCCAGAGGGAGGGCCGCAGGAGGCGACGTGGCTGTTAGTGGCTGCTTGGGGGGCCATCCGCCTCCCCTTGGTCACCTGGTTACATTCGCCCAGCCCGGTCGGTCCGCTCTGCCGCACAGCCAGTCACCACGCCCACGCGGTCTGTCACGGTTTCCCGGGCCAGGTGTCTGCGTGGCACGTGGCTCTCTTCTTGGAGTCGCCAGGCTGAGCTCCAGGGGTCAGCCAGGCTGCATTCCCGCCAGGAGCCACCCGTATGTCTGCCAGCTGCCCCCAGTCACGGAGAGGCTGACAGCACCCAGTGAGTGTCGTGATTTGATGGTCCCCAGGTCAGCGCCTGCCCTCCTGGTCCAGCCGCCTCTGTCCCTGTTTGTGCCCTCTGTGACTCCAGCCACTTCCCACGGTGACGGTGCCTGCCTGAGGATGCTCTCTCTGGAGAGGGCTGGCCTGTGCTTGTCCCCAGGGGATGTCACAGGGTGGTGGGAGTCGTCTGCCCTGGAAGGCAGGGCCATGCACTGCAGCCACAAGAAGGAGACTTGAAATGACTGGAGAGCAAAGGAGGCGGGAAGAGGCTGGTCTGACCCACAGCTGTGAGCACGTTGCTGCCCACGGGTGCTTGTGCTGACACCCAGGGCAGCCTGGCAGCAGGGCCTCGTGCCGCTGTGCTTGTGCTGCTGTGTGTGGCGGCGGTGACAAGGACCACAAGCTGGGGGGAAGCACAGAAGCTGACCGTCAGCTCAGACTCCTTGGTGAGGCGGGTGCCCCTTGCCCGCCAGCCTCAGCGTCTCACAGCTCGCTGCCCCCCGGCCGCGTCTCAGCCTCTCACCCTGGACACGAGCCCGCTGGGCACCTCCCAGCTCTGTCTCGGTTATGTGTGCGGCTCCCCTCTAGACTGGGCTCTTGGGGAGCACACGCAGGGTCTGACTCATCCCTGGGACCCTCTTCCACACCCCCACCCTGTCTGTGTAGCAACTGCCCACAGATCAGTGCCCTTCCAAAAGGGTGGCCTGGGCAGTGCCGCTGGGCCTCCTGGTGCCCAACAACACCATGCGCATAGTCTCCAGGGACTGGCAGACCTGACAGGACCCAAGCCCAGGCCCCAGGTGGAGTCCTGGCTCTTCCTGCCTCATCTGTTCTGTTGGGGCAGCACCTCAGGGAGTGTGCTGCCCAGGACCAGTCTCCCATCCCGTCTGAACCCCCGCCCCACCCACAGCAGCAGGCTCTTCTCCGAGGTGAGGCAGCAGGTGTCTCCCCCCTGCCTGTCTGCGTGGTTGTGTCTCAGTGTGTGTCACCTCAGGCTTTAGCCCTCGGCTCTCCAGGAGCGTCAGGGCCCTCCCCGGGGTCCTCCAGGAGCCGTGTGCCAGCCTCCGGGCATTTCTCTGAGGTCTGGGGCTGCAGGGCTGAGCCTGAGGCACCCTTCACCCCACTTAGGATAGACCCTGCCGCAGGCTGGGCGTTTCTCCTCGAAATGACATTTATTCTTCTGATCACAAAAGTAATACTTGATCATAGAAGACACTGGAAAACAGTACTTTGTCCGTCATTCTACTATTCAAATAAATGGAAGGAGATGCTGCGCCTTGACGGTCTGTCCACCTGGTGCTGCCTTCTCGTCGACAAGCTGAGCATCTGCAGCCTCACCCTCTGCCCTCCAAAGGGGGGACACACAGGCGCGACCCCTCCACTGCGTCCGCCACGGGGACGCGCATCCCGCTGACCGGCTGTTTCTTGAACATGAGTTTTCTAGATGGTTACAAGGAAAACGTTCTCTTGTTGTGTGTGCGTGTGTGTGTGTACCAACCAGCGGTTTGGGTATATTCAAAGCTGTGCAGGCGTCACCATGACCGATTCCGGACCATTTCCATCACCCACAAAGCAAACACGTGTGCACCCCCCCCACCCCCGCGCTCTCCCCTCAGCCCCTGGCGGCGGTCAGTCCACTCCGCTGGCCCAGGGTCTCAGATGGGATCGTGCTCTGTGGGCCTTTGCCGCTGGCTCTCACTGAGCACCACACTTTCCAGGTTCTTCCCGCTGGGGCGGGAGTCAGGTCCCTCCCTTTCCGGGCTGAAGACCAGTTCCGTTGCCTGGTGTGTTTATGCGTTTACGGGTTGTGGGGCAGGTGGGCTGCGTCTGCTTTGGGGCTGCTGGGAACCACGCGGCTCTGGACCTTCGCGTGCCACGTTTCCTGTGAACGTGTTTTCAGTTCCCTCGCCTGCTGGGTCACAGGATCCGGGAACCGCTGGGCTGGCTGCCGAAGGGGCCGCACCCCACTCAGTTCCCCCCGGGGTGTCCGAGGGGTCTGGTCTCTCCGTAGCTCTACCACTGTTCTCACCTTTTCTTTGCCAGACGGCAGAATTTTATGGTTTTGTGAACACAAATACAATGTGCCCACAAGCTGTCTATTCATTTTCTTCGCTGCTCAGCCTGGCTTTGGGGTTGGTGACGGATGGCAGCTGGGCTGCTCTGTGCCTAGCAGTTCTCGGCGCTCTGAGGACACTCTGTGAGTGATCTGAGCACAGTGACACGGGTCGCACGTCAGCAGGGCTTCCTTGGCGCTGTGGGCCAGCAACTTCCGAAAGCCAGTGAGCAGCATGGGCTCTGTGCTCTCGTTGCCCCCACAGCGGGTGCTGGGCATCAGGGTGTGGCCTTTACCCTTCTGCGCACCCCATGACTGGTGCCGGATGAACTTCTTGGTCCTCTTTGTGATGATCGTGGGTTTCACGAGGGGTCTGAGGGCAGTCACAGTGCCAGGCAGGAGACAGCTGCCACCTCCATAAGCAGTGCTGAGGAAGAGCTGTTGTCTGTGTGTGTGGTTTTTTAAAAAACGTTTTGTTTTTTTATTTTTTAGAGAGAGATAGAAACATGGATGTGAGAGAGAAACATGGATCAGCTGCCTCCTGCATGCCCCCTACTGGGGATGGAGCCTGCAACCTGGACCAGGAATAGAACTGGGACCTCTCAGTCCATGGGATACACTCAATCCACTGAGCACATTGGCCGGGCTGTTTGCTCTGTGTGTGTGTGTGTGTGTGTGTGTGTGTGTGTGTGTGTTTAATCCTAACCTGAGAATGGGAGATGGGAGGGAGGAAGAGAGAGAGAAACATTGATGTGAGAGAGACACATCGACTGGTTGCCTCCGGCGCAACCCCAACCAGGGCTGGGGATGAACCGCAGCCGAGGTACGTGCCCTTGACTGAAATCAAACCCAGGACTCATTGGTCCGTGGGCCAATGTTCTGACCGCTGAGCCAAACCGGCCAGGACTGTTTGCTGTGTTTTTCTAAAAAATTACTGCAGTCATCCTAATGGCTATGAAATGAAATCATGTTGTCATTTTGATTTATTTGTGTTTTCCAAATGACTAACAATGTTGAGCATCTTTTCATGTGTTTTCACTGTTTGTATCTTCTTTGGAAAAACATCTATTCAAACCCATTGTGCATTATTTGTCTTTTTATTCTTGAGTTATGAGAGTTCTTTCTATATTCCAGTTGCTATTCTCTTATCAGACACATGATTTGCATAATTTTCTCCCATTCTGTGGGCTGTCTTTTGCTTTTCTTGATGTTATCTTTTGACGCACAAAAGTGTTTTGTTATGTTTTTGAAGCACAAAAGATTTTAATTTTGAAGAAGTCCAGTTTATCTGTTTTTTGTTCACGGTGCTTCTGATGTCATAGCTAATAAACTGTTGCCTTATTCAAGGCCACAAAGATTTACATTTATTCTAAGAGTTTTAGCTCTTACATTTAGGTTTTTGATCCATTTTGAGTCCATTTTCGTATGTGAGGTAAAGTAAGGGTCCAACTTCATTCTTTTGCTTGTGGAAATCCAGTTTTCCCAGGACTGTTCCCTTGTTGAAAGGTCTTGGCACTCTTGATGGAAATCCATCAGTTTAGCCCTGGCCGGTGTGGGCACTGGTGTCAACCGGTGGACTAAAGAGTCTCAGGTGTGATTCCGGTGAAGGGCACATACCTAGGTCATGGTTCGGTCTCTGGCCCTGGTCGGGGTCCTGTGGGAGGCAACCAGTTGGTGTATCTCTCTCACATGGGTGTCTCTCAAAAAAAAAAAATAAAATGAAACAAATGTATCAGTTTATCCCTGGACTCACAGTTCTGTTCCACTGTGATGTCTATCCAGTGGGGCAGTCTTGGTTACTTAGTTTCTTTTTTTAATCCTCACTGGAGGACATTTTCCCATTTTTTGTTCAGATAGAGTGAGAAGGAGAGAGAGAGAGAAACATCGACGTGAAAGGGACACATTGAGTGGCTGCCACCCGCATGACCCAACCAGGGCCGGGGACAAACTGCAACCGAGGTACATGCCCTTAGTGGGAACCGAATCTGGGTCCCTCTGGACCGCAGGCCAACGCTCTAACCACTGAGCCAAACCGGCCAGGGCCTTAGTTTCATATTAAATTGCAAATTACCAGTGTGAATTCTCTAACTTTGTTTTTTTTTTCTTTTTCAAGATCATTTTGGCTTTTCTGGGTTCTTGCATTTCCATATAGATTTTAGGATGAATTTGTCAGTTTCTGCATAGATAAAAGAGTAGCTGGTATCTTTATGGATTACACTGGACCAATTTGGGGAGTTTGCCTTCTTGACAATACTGCCTTTCAGTCCGTGAGCATGGGCTACCTGTCCATTTATTTAGGTCTCCTTAATTTATTTCAATTGTGTTTTGTAGTTTTCAGTGTGTAACTCGCATTTTTTGGTTAAATTTATTCCAGGTATTTTAATCTTTTTGATACCATTACAAATAGGATTGTTTCTTAATTTCATTTTTCGTTTGTTTATTGCTACCCTATTTTAATATAAATTGACTTTTTAAAATAACAGCTTTATTGACAGACAGGGTGGGACAAAAGTAGGTTTACAGTTGTTCATATGGAAAAATGATACAATAATTAATATGTGATAATACAAGAGTAAACTCTGTGTTTTACATACTCACAACTGTAACCCTACCTCTGCCCCACCTTGCATAGTACATATACCACCAAGTTCACCCTTTCAAAGTGTACAATTCAGTGGTGGTTTATATGTATTTACTGTTTTTTAAACATTTTTTTTAGCATGTATTCACTCTCAACCTCTATATTGAATGCCAAACTAGTCCAGCCTCTTCCACACAGACCTCAGTTTCTTTCCTCTGTTTTCTCCTTGTCCTAAATATTGGTTTTCTACTTTAAAAAATATATACATGTTTTTATTGATTTTTAGAGAGAGAGAGGGAGAGAGATAGAAACATGGATGAGAAACATTGATTGGCTGCCTCCTGCACGCCCCCTACTGGGGACCAAGCCGGCAACCCCGTTCACGTGCCCTGACCTGGAATCAAACCGGGACCTCGCAGTCTATGGGACACGCTCAATCCACTGAGCCACGTTGGTCGGGCTTTTCCCCCCACTTTTTAATTGTGGTAAAATAGGTAGAACATAAAATTCACTATTTATCTGTCTGTAAGTGTACAGTTCAGTAGCTTTCTGCCCATTCACAGTGTTGTGTGACCACTGTCTATTTCCCGAACATTTCCATCTTCTGAAACTCTGTCCCGGGGCAGCCCCTCCTCCCCTGGGAACCACCGCTCTTTCTGCCTGTGCTTCTGACCACTCTGAGTACCTCGCATGAGTGGGATCCCCGCGTCTGTCCTTCGTGTCTGGCTAATCTCACGCAGCATGTCCTCCGCAGGGCTCACCTGTTGTAACAGGTGTCAGAATTTCCTTCTTTGTCAAGGCTGAATCCGTTCCCCTTGTGTGGGTGGGCGACGTTTTGTTTGTTCCTCCACCACCGGACGCTCGGGCTGCTCCCACCTTTTGGCTGCTTCGAGCGTTTGTGTCCAGCGGGTCCCTGAAGAACGTCATTCTGTTCATCTTCATTCTGCTATAACGTTGAGTTGCCGTAGGAAGCTAACTCTCGTTTATATCAGTTCATCTCTAGTAAAACTGGTTTCGTTACACGTTGTTTCACTTAAAGTTGCGGAGCCTGTGGACGGTGTTAAGTGAGCACTGACTGTATGAGTCCCTGCTGTCAATTCTTCTGGGTGAAGCTATTACTGAGATGAGGGGTACTGAATGGATTTGGCCTCACCCCTTCCTCACTCAGCCCCCCAACCCCCCGCCGGAAACCCTGGGCCAGGAGGGGAGAGATGCAGCTCATCTTCTCGTCTTTATGGCCCTGGTGGGGCCTTCTGTCCTCTCGGCTGGCACACCCAGCCCACCCCAGCCTCTTGTTCCTGTGAAATGGTAAATGCTCATGAATGCAGTCACTACATTGGAGTGTGCCCACAAAATGCACACCCCTTCACTGCAGGAAGGAACCCGGGCAGCTCCGGCCTCTTGGTGGTGTTGGCCCGTCGCCTGGATTCTCAGGGGCGTCTCAACAACGGCTTTGCACCTTGAGGATGGACCCAGTCAGAGGCTGGGCAGCTCTGCGTTTCCCCGCTGTGGTTAAGGGGCTTTGCGCCGTGAGCCACCTCCCTGCCCCCCACCCCAGCTCTGCCCCCTCAGGACGGGCCACTCTCCGCTTTCTGTCCCTGTAGGTTCTGCTGGAACATCCAGCGCCCGTGTCTGAGGCTGGGCGGGGTGGGGGCGGGGCCTGCGAAGCCTGCAGCAGAGTGTGCCCCCCCCCCCCCCGCTTTACTGAGCTGGTCCCCATGGTCTTTCCAAAGTCCCTGGCCGGTTTACACCCCCTGCGCCACCCCCACAGTGCGAGGGGCCACCCACCAGGCAGCTCTCCCCTCTGAGGACCTGGGTGAGCCAGTGGCCTGGAAGGAGCGGCTTCTCCCAAAAAGGGAAAGCGGAGGTCGTGCAGGCCGCCAGCACAACTCTTAAAACCGTGTGGCGAGCATTCTGGGGAGAGAACAGGTTCCGCGTCCAGGAACCCGCAGCGGGAGCAGGAAGGGAACCTGCCAGGAGGAGATGCCAAGACAAGACAGGCGGCCATTCCCGGGGGGCAGGGCCAAGCCCAAGTGGGAGGCGGGAGGCGAAGGGATTGAGTCAGAGGGTCAGGGCCGGGACAGGGGACACCCCAGCTTAGTGCAGGCTGGACTGTGGCCCTGTCGCAGCTGCCAGGTGACCCCCGAGCGCAGCCTCAGAAAGCTGGGGCGACACCCCTGGGAGGCTGGGGAGGAGCCTGCCCGCCGCTTCCAGTCTCGCGGGCCCCAGTGTCCCTGGGCTGGTGGCTGTGTCCCTCCTGTCTCTGTGCCAGTCACTCAGCCTCCTCTCCTGTGTTTCTGTGTCTCCTCTCCCGTTTCCTGTAGAGACACTGGTCACTGGATCAGGGCCACCAGATACTCTAAGCAGGTGCGGCGAGCCTTCCACAGGAGGAAGTCGGGACATAATGTTAAGCGACCGCAAGAAGGGGCCGCTCAGCGCGTGGTGTGGGAGCGTCCAAGCCCAGAGCTCTCGGGCCCAGAAGCCCCGCCGCCCACCCAACCACCCTGTGTGCTTCTCTGTGCAGTGGCTCGACGGCCCGGGCCTGCTCCTCGGACAGGACCACGCCAGAGGCGGCCCCCGCGGCCACAAGAGAGAAGATCCGATCCAGGTTCCACGGCAGCCACGACCTGATCCATCGCCTATTTGTCTGCATTTCAGGTGCCACGTGTGGGCCTGTGGGCTTGTGGACACGGGGGGCTGTGCTGTGCCTGCGGGGCTGAGGTTGGCTGCAGGTGAAATCCCGGTCATGATGTGATGCGGTGTGGGTGGTGCTGGCTGCTGGTGCTGACGGCGCCGGCCCTGCCCGGGGGCTTGCCTTCTGTCCCGTCACCGTCCCCGAGCCCTACGATGAACCCATGTGCCCAGCAGAGAGGAGCACCTCAGTTGTTGCCAGGGTCCACCAGCAGTGGCCCCTCGGCTGCCCACAGGGAGGGCCTGTTCCCCTTGTGGTTCAGACTCTGCTGCACATCCTGACCAATCTTTTTCCTTCCCTCCCTCGGGACGGTCAACAGCAAGAGGGTGAGGGGGAGGTGCTGTCTCCCAAGGGGATCCAGAGTGGCATGAGCAAAAGGGCATCTCTTTCACATTCTCCTTTCATTTTGTGTGTGTTAAATGAGTACATATCCACATGGTTCGAAGTATGCAAAGTGTGAAGTGCCCCCCACGCCCCCGGGAGGGGCTCGGCAGTGCTTGCCCTGCAGTGGGCTCTGCCCCTACCTGGCGCCTCCTCTGCTCAGGGCTGCAGGGGAGGGGCCGGATCGCTGCCACGGGGCCCCGTGGGCACCGCTGACCGGGCGGGGTGGGACTAGAAGGGTCTCGGGGGCTCCGAGCTGTTTGCTCATCTGCCAGAATGGACCACGTGGTCGGTTTCGAGGCTTAGGAGACGCTGTGCCTGGCGGGTGCTCACGCCGCTGGCACAGAGACCCTTCAGAAGCTTGGGCTCTGTGGTGTCAGCGCGGGCTGGTGGGGTGCGCACAGCTCCCCCTGGCTTTGCTGGAAGTGGAGCTAGCATTGCTGTTCCCTGGGGAAGGCTGAGTCCCCCTGGCTTCTGGAGGGAGGGGAGCCCCTGCCTGTGGCGACGGGAAGTGTTTTCCTGCCAGGAAATGTCTGGGGGCTGGAGCGGAGCAGAGGACCTGGGTGTCCGGCACCTCCCCCGGCAGGGTCCAACTCTGGGCCCAGCCACGCGGAGCCCTCTGCGGTTTGCCATGGGGGGCACAGTTCCATTCGGGGCTCTGAGATCATCCCCCGCTGAGTGGTCAGGACTGTGTAGTGGTGGTGGCTGTGACCCTAAGGGTGAGATGTACCCCAAACTTTTGCGTCTGCCAAAGAAGTGTCTCCGAGGCTGGGCAGCTGTTTCTGCCTTGACCCATCTGAGGACACGCCGAGTCCCCAAGCTGGTCAGCCTCCCCCGCCTTCCCTTTGTCCCTCTGTCCCAGGTGTGGCTGACCAGCTGCAGACCAACTACGCCAGTGACCTGAGAAGTATCCTCAAGACCCTCTTTGAGGTCATGGCCACGAAGCCGGAAATGGACGACAAGGAAAAGCTGAAGAAGGGTGAGTGCCAGCTCGGGACAGGCTCTGTGGTCACATGACCATGGTGTCCAGCACCCCAGTGTGTGGGCTTGCGGATCCGCACCCCTCTCCATGGCCACCCAGCAGTGTGGCTGTCTGCCAGGAGCCGGGGCGCACACCACAGGCCCCAGAGCCTCCCCTGGAGGCCACGCCTGGAGCATGGTGCCACCCCACACCACACGCCTGCCCTAGAGGGCACAGCTGCTCCTCCCCCTGCAAGGTCACCGGCCTCTTCAGGCTGGAGGGACGGTGCTTGTCTTCAAAAAGCCAAGTCCCAGACGTGACAGCATCACTTCTATCCAATTCCTTCGGTCACAGTGTCAGAGGCCAAGACATAGGCCCTGTGTCTTGATGAGGGAGCGGCTGTCAGGGACCTGCCTCACCTGGACACTCTCCACACAGCACAGGCCTGCAAGCACACCCTCCACATGCTCTCCCCTGGTGCGTGCACACACACACACACAGAGGCATGTTTTCACATGTGCACACATAGACAACTCACATGGGCATGCTCTCACACCTGCACCTGCACACACACATGGGCCTGCTCTCACACACTCACACCTGCACACACACATGGGCATGTTCTCACACACTCACACCTGCACACACACATGGGCATGTTCTCACACACTCACACCTGCACACTCACACGGGCCTGCTCTCACACACTCACACCTGCACATACACACGGGCCTGCTCTCACACCTGCACACTCACACGGGCCTGCTCTCACACATGCACCTACATACACTCATATGGGCGTGCTCTCACACACTCCTGCACACACTCACACGGGCCTGCTCTCACACACTCACACCTGCACACTCACACGGGCATGCTCTCACACACTCACACCTGCACACTCACACGGGCCTCCTCTCACACACTCACACCTGCACACACTCACCCCTGCACACTCACATGGTCATGCTCTCACACACACACACCTGCACACACTCACACGGGCATGCTCTCACATACTTACACCTGCACACTCACGGGCCTGCTCTCACACACTCACACCTGCACACACTCACACCTGCACACTCACATGGTCATGCTCTCACACACACACACCTGCACACACTCACACGGGCATGCTCTCACATACTTACACCTGCACACACTCACACGGGCATGCTCTCACACACGTAACTGACTATCTTGGTAAGGGAGCAGATGACAGGGCTGGGACTGATAAATCACAGAGCACCTGCCCTTTGCTCCCCGGGAGGATGGGGGACTGTTGCTTGGGTTTAGGGGAGCTAAACCCCTGCTGGCAGCACCCAGGTGCACTGGCAACAGACAGATGATGGAGCATGGACCCCAGCGGTCACCCTTTCTCTTCCAGTCACCCAGAACCTGCGGAACGCGGCCTTGGAGGACTGCGCCCTGTGCCAGGAGACCCTGTCATCCTCTGAACTTGCAGCCAAGACCCAAGACGGGGACTTGGAAGGTGCGTGGGGAGCACTGGCCCATCTGGATGTCTCCTCTCTGTCCCAGGCCACAGGCTCTGTGAAGACAACTGTTCTCCAGATGTAGGCCTTCTGGGCATGTAACGTCCCATCCCAGCATCTCCTCCTCGGCTCCCAGGGTGCACACATGGTCCTCCTAGCCACTGCGGAGCAACCTCAGGCCAGCTACTCAATGACTTCCATAGACTTGGGAGGTGATGGGCATGAGGAGCAGGGAGGTGCTGGGATCCAAGCCTTTGGCTGTGCTGGAAGTGGCTGTTCCTGAGGCACAGGCACACTCCTGACCCCCAGCCTGCGTGGGCCCCACAGGACAGGCCTCCCATGGCAACCTCCACACAGGGAGCTGTGGGTGAGCTCTGGTTATGTGGAGGCAAGGGACCCCTGCTCCCGCACTAGCCTGGAGGTCAGGGACCCCTGCTCCCGCACTAGCCTGGAGGTCAGGGACCCCCTGCTCCTGCACTAGCCTGGAGGTCAGGGACCCCTGCTCTCGCACTAGCCTGGAGGTCAGGGACCCCTGCTCCCGCACTAGCCTGGAGGTCAGGGACCCCCTGCTCCCGCACTAGCCTGGAGGTCAGGGACCCCTGCTCCCGCACTAGCCTGGAGGTCAGGGACCCCTGCTCTCCCATTAGCCTGGAGGTCAGGGACCCCTGCTCCCGCACTAGCCTGGGGGTCAGGGACCTCTGCTCCTGCACTAGCCTGGAGGTCAGGGACCCCCTGTTCTCCCATTAGCCTGGAGGTCAGGGACCCCTGCTCCCGCACTAGCCTGCTCCCGCACTAGCCTGGGGGTCAGGGACCTCTGCTCCCGCACTAGCCTGGAGGTCAGGGACCCCTGCTCCGCACTAGCCTGGGGGTCAGGGACCCCTGCTCCGCACTAGCCTGGAGGTGAGCTGGCTGGGGCAGGTGGCTTGCTGGTCGGGGAAGGAGCATCCAGGGCAGGTTGGGGCCCTGCAACATCTCTGTGGGGAGGGCTCCACGGCCTTGAAAGGAGCATGCTCTGGCCCTGGAGCCTGGGAGAGGTGCGGAGATGGGTGATAGCAGATACGCCTGAACGGTGTCACATATGACCAGAGACAAGGAGGCTGACGTTGACCCTGCGACAGGCCACAGATCACACCACTCCCTGTGTGCCTGGCTGGCTGGGCTAGGCCCCGCTGTCCCGGCTCAGCGCCCCTCGGTGCTGCCTGGTGAACACTGAGACTCAGAGTGTGAGGAGGGTCAGGAGCAGCATGGGCGGCCCACTTCCTGAGCGACCCCAAGGCAGGCTCACGGAATCGGGGCCAGGCCCAGGAGGTCCCCGGGACACTCATGGTACCCAAGCAAGGGCCTGCACTCCTCTGTCTGAGCTGGAGGTCCCAGCCCAGCGTGGCCTACAGGGGTGCACAGGCGCCATCTAGTGCCTCCCTGGGGCCAGCCAAGGATTTGACGGGAGTGTGGGGGACACGCCTGAGAACTGATCCCCCTGTGGTGTGGGGTGACCTGACAGGATCCTTGGGAGGGTGGCAGGTAAGGCGAGGCCAGGAGACCCTGGGTCTCCACTGGACAGGCAGCTGTGACCAGTTCCATTTGGAGGCACTCAGGGTGAGGCCTGGGTGTTGTGGAGGGTGGACGGAACCTTCGCGAATGTTCTGTGGCCCTGGGGAGTTATCAGAGGTGACTGCTTCCCCTCTAGATGTCAGTGCTGGCCTTGGGCCTGGTACACGGCAGGCCCCTAGGTGCCCAGGGTGGGAGGGAAGTGACCAGCTTGTAGTACAAGCTGCTTCCTGAAATGATGTGCTCCCCAAATTCCAGAGCACCTTGAGAATGAGAGGGTGTTCCATGTGACCCTGGCCCCTGGTCCCTGCCTAGGCTGCACAGGTGTTGGGGAGGGGCAGGTAGCCAGCCCTGGCCTCCAAGAGTTGAGACGGGGCATCTACCTGGGCCTTCAGGGACCCCCTGCAGAGGGCGAAGGATAACCTGGGTGGGTAGGACCGGGGACCCCTGATTGAGGAAGTGACCGAGAGGGTGACTTCTTTATTTCTCAGCCCTCACCTTTGCCCAAGGGCTCTGCCAGATGGGTACTGGCAGGGGGAGGCTTGGGAGAGGGTCACCCAGGTGGAGCTTCTGCTATGTCCTCGGTCCTGGGTGAGGCTCCGGCTGCAGCCGGGGTGTGATCGATGGGCACTGCCCACAGCTGCAAAGACTGACCACCCACAGGCTGCTGCCAGTTTCCTGAAACCACGGCCAAGGTTGGGTCCAGGGGTGGACTGCAGACTGGTAGGGCAGGGGCTGCGGGGCCTGGGCCAGAAGCTCCTATAGAACCGCCTTCGATGCCCCCAGCCCACCTGCCCCTCGTTGCTCCTTCTGCCTGACCCGTGCCCCTCTCTCTGGCACAGACCCGCCCGAGTGGGTCCCAGACGAGGCCTGCAGCTTCTGCACCGCCTGCAAAGCGCCCTTCACCGTCATCCGCAGAAAGCACCACTGCCGCAGCTGCGGGAAGGTGGGTGGGGCCCGGACCCCCGCAGGCGGCAGGCAGGCCCCTGAGCCAGGTGCTGCTCTGACCGGGCTCAGGGCTTCACTCCGGACACTCGGCCCACAGGGTCTGGATGGTGCCATGTCCCTCCCAGCTGCTCCAGGGCTGGGAGCGGGGAGGGGACGGAAGGTCTGACAGGAGCCCCCAACACCTTGGTGTGGGGTCCGGGATCCTCTCCTTGAACCTGGCCTCCTGAGCCGTAACCCGCCCCAGGTTTTCCTGAAGGCCCCAGCCCCACAGTGGGGCCTGCAGACCCCACCAACGAATGCCCTTCCTGGCCTGGTGAGAGGGATGTGCAGGAGCTGACACCCAGGGCTCTGACACTGTCCTCTGGGTCTCTCCCCGTGGGGCCAAGGTTAGGGAGCGCGGCACAGCTGGGCTGTCGGGGACCCTCCCCAGCTCACTGCCCACTGCCTTCCAGATCTTCTGCTCCCGCTGCTCCTCCCACTCAGCCCCGCTGCCCCGCTACGGGCAGGTGAAGCCAGTCCGCGTGTGCACACACTGCTATATGTTCCACGTCACGCCCTTCTACAGCGACAAGGCGGGCATCTGACGCGCGCCAAGCACCCGACCGTCGAGCCCGAGAGGACCCCCGGAAGGCGCCCGCGCTCTCCACCTCCGTCCAGATGCGCTTCCAGGGGTGTCCCTGCCTTGCACCAGGCTGCTGCTGCGGCCACTTCCAGTACATCCTGCCCCTTCTGCACCCTCCTCCCAGCCACGCCAGCCCCACCCGCAGCGGCCAGCAGGGGTCCCTGGTTGCCAGGTGACCGCTCAGGCAGAGTGGGCTCTCCTCCTGCTCAGCGTGGTGACGGGGAAGTGGGGTCATGCTTGAGCTCCAGGCAGCCTCAGCCCCTGAGGTCACACCCGGTGACGGTGGACACCTACCGGAGAGGGGCCAGGCCTCGGCTCTCTGCAGGGCTTTCCCGTGCGCTTGCCAAGCCAGAAAGACCAGGCTGCCCATCCCTCCCCAGTGCCCTGAGCCCAGGGCGCCATCTCATTCCCCTGCGCCACCCATGCCCGCTCCCTCAGGGCCTGGGCTGAGCAACGCACATCTCATTGCACCCAGCGGTCCTGTGGGCCAGCCACGTCCCTGCACTGCCTGCCTACCCTCGTCCGCCTTCTGGTGGGGAGAGGGCAGCATGGAAGCTCACAGACAGAGGTTCCGGGTTCGTAGGCCAGGGCTCCCCAGGTCGCCAAGGACCACCGGACGTTGGCCACTTGGCTGCCGCTACCCCTCCCCTCGCACCCCTGGGACCCTGGCCCACCTCCTCAGGCTCCGAGCCGCCGGGCCCCAGCACGGACACCTCCTCAGGCTAAATCTCAGGCTTCACATTGCAACGAGGGTGGCAGCTTTATTTTTAGAGAGAGAACACACCCACTGCTTCTTTTATAGGATAAGCCCCAACTACTATTTAATAGTGGGTACAAAAATGGCTTCTGTGGGGGAAAGTATTTAATGGAGTGAATATTATGTATTGAGATTATTTTATTTTCTAAATGCTGTAATTCGAAACCATTTCCATAAATCTATTTACGGATTGCAGATGCCCCTGTTTCCCTGTGAACACGGCCGCCTTTCTCTTGGTCTGGGAAGTGCTGGTGGTTTGGCTCACGGGCACCGACCCTCAGTGAGCTGGGGCTTCAGGACTCTTGGGACATTCAAAGGGCAGGACTGGCTTTCTTCCCACCAGCCCCTGGGAGGAGGGTGCCCCCCACTTCGAGGGTTCCAGTGCCCACTGCCTGTCCCCTGGGGACGTGTGGTCACTGCCCTTATGCAAGGCTGGCTCCACCCCAGGGGCAGAGCTAGGACCTGAGGGTGCAGAGGGGTTAGTCTAAGGCAGGTTTTCCCTGCTCAGGAAGGATCCACAAGGAATGGCTGCCGCCCATCCGCAGCAGGGGCTCAGGCCTGGGAGACACGGGGTGGAGGCAGAGAGAGTCCAATGCTCCTGATTTGGTTAGTTTCCCATCATCACCATCACTGTCATCCTTCCTGTCACTGCCTTCTGAGTGCTGTCCCCTCCACTCGCCACAGCAACCCCTCCAGGGAGCAGGACCCCCATGTCCCTGGTGGGGAACATGAGGCCCACGGAGGGCTTTTAGGAAGGGCACACAGCGGAAACAGTGCCCTGTGCCCCGCGGAGTGCTGGGAAGCACTGGCCCTGGGGCCGGGCCTGGAGGCCACTTTCCGGAAGGCAGCTCTGGGGGCAGGAACTCCACCACATGGGCACTCCGGTCTGGCAGCTGGAGGAAGGCTGGGGCGGCCAGGAGCTGGGCATAGCTGAGTCTGGATTGCCCACCTCACCCTCTGGGCTACGCACAGGCCCAGGGAGAAGGGCAGCATGCTCTTCAACAGCCCCCTTAAGCTTCCAGGAACGAGCAGGGGCCCTAGGCCTGGCTGCCGCCCCCCAGGCACTCAGGATCCAGACACAGCCTGAAGCCCCCCATGGGGCAGGTCACCAAAGATGGAGGCCCTGGGATGGAGCACCCAGAGCTCTCCATCCAAGGTGGCTCAGGAGGCAGTGGGTGGGGGGCGGAGAGAGCCACCATGCCTGGCCTTGAGGAGGTGGCCCTGGGGTGGGAGGAGGAGGATGTCCCAACAGGTCCTACCCCTTCCCACTGCAGGCTACCTCAGTCCACACCCCACATCCCCTGGCCTCTGAGGAGCCCCTGCTGCCTGCCCCCATTTGTGGTTCACCAGTCCCCACGGACATGCTCAGGTCCCGCCAGCCTGCTCTCAGGCCCTGCCCATATCTCCCTGCAAACCCCAGGTGGGCAGCCACCCGCACCAGAAGGCTGTGTGGCCCTGGTGGGGGGGGAGCACACGAAAGGAGAAGGACTGTGTGTCCTGGTTTCTGATGAAGGTGATGGGACAATATCACCCCAGGAGGCCAAGTGGGAGGGGCCGGGTTGGGGGGCCCTCCCCTCTCCTTTCTGTCGCCCAGGGCTGGGCTCCCTCCAGGGTCCCTGCTGGAGCCCCTAGTGGCCACCAGAGGGCGCCCATCCCACCGCCGCCTCCTCCAGTGTGGCCTGACTGCAGGGGTGTTGGGGCAACTGGAGCACAGCCTGCAGGGCTGCCCCACCGGAGGACACTCTAGGTCCAGAGAGGACACCCAGCACAGCTGTACCTGCTGGCCAGGCCTTAGCCTTCTGGGTCCTTACGGGGTGGAGAGTCCAAAGAGGGTCTTGGCCCAGTAAGGACCACAGGCAGGGCAGACCACAACCCAAATGGCTCAGGGAGAGGGAGAGAGGAGTCCCGGTTGGAGCTGGACACCTTGGACCCCCAGGGCTGGGGTGGGGACTGACAATACTGTGGAGGGGCAGCTTCACCTGTTCTCTGGACTCCGCAACAAAAGCCAGGGGAGGTGCACAGGACCCAAAACTCCTACCCCATGTCACCCACATGAACTGGGGACGCTTGTCTCCTCTCAGGCCTACCTAGAGCCACCTCCTCCAGGCAGCCTTCTTATTTAATGGTGGCCCCAGCCCCCACCTTCACACACATTCTCAGAGCATAGCCTAGGTAGGGTCCCTTTGCAGGGGCCAGCAAGCCTGTGAGAACCTCTCCTAATTCTGAGACTGGGAAGAAGTGGATTCCAGGCCAACCCAGAGCAGTCTCTCAAACTCAATCTCACAACGAAGACTTAAACATGAGCATGTTTACGTTCCACTGGTGTGTTCATTTGCTCCCAAATGGTCAAGGAAGCTTAGGCTGGAGCCTGCCCCCGAGCTGGGCAATGATGGGCACCCAGACCTGCCTAGCTCTGAGGTCTGCAGGTTTGGGGCCGTCACAGCTGGCTGTCGGCTAGGCCTTGTGGGGTGACCAGGGTGTCTGGAGAATTGGGTGCCGGAGCAACAGAGCCACAGAACAGCCCTGAGAGTCTGATAAATGGTGATGCTCCCAGTAGGGGGAGCACAGATGGGGAGCATGGCTGGGTCACCCCAGGCACCAAATGCCAGGCTTCTTCCTGAGGGCACCAGGGAGACTTTGGATAGTTCTGAGCAGGGGAGGACATGTCAGATTTGTGGTTTGGACACCTTGCAGGGAGGATGGGTTGGTGTGGCAGAGGCCAGGGCCCACAATTCTGGGACCTGAGCTTCATCAGAGGCAGTGACACAGCTTAGCCAGTCACCACTTTGACCTTGCTGTCCCCCCACCCCCATCACTCAGGACCCTGTGATCTGAGAGGCCTTTGCATCCTTGGAATGAGGCACACTCGCCAGAGCCTGACCTGCTGCCACCTGGGTGTAGAAGCAGTTGGATGACTGGAACCCAGGAAGGGGGAGCTGGGGTGGGTTTCTTGGGCTTAGGCACTCAGGGCATCCAGCCTGAGACTAGGAAGCCTCTACCCTCAACCAGATGTAGCACTAGAGCCACATGGGGTGGCCTAGTGGGCCCTGAAGTTTCCTGGAGGAGGTAGGGGAGCAGGAGAGGAAGGCCCAGGCCAGAGTAGCCCAGACAGCAGGACCAGAAGAGGTGTGTTGGGGTGAACCCCACGGCCCCTATTGTTCAAGGCAGGGAGGCTACAGGAAGGGCAGAGCAGGTAGCTGGCCTGTGCTATAGAACTGGGCCTGCCTGGGTCAACCAGGATGGGGGGTGGGGCAGCCCCACCCCCATGGGGGGCCCAGGTGTGGAGACTTGGGGCCCAGGCAAGACCAATACATACACCCTCCCATAAGTTTGTCTTCCCTCAGACTTCCCCTCCCCCTCCTAGTCCCAATTGAAGGCTAAGATTGCCAGCATACAGCTGCCCTGGCCAGGGCCAGTCTGCTCTAACCACCCCGCAGCTCCCTCCCTCTCTCCCCCTCCCTCCTTCTCTCCCTCACCCCTCCCACCCTCTGGCCCACTCAGTGCCATCTCCTGGGCTGCCCCCTCCGCCTGGGACCCAGAAGCCTCTGCCCGTGCCAAGCCCTGGCCCTCCAGCCCAGCCCTTTGCTCACGCTCACACTGCTGACCCAGGTCCCCCTTCTACCCCCACTTCTTGTGGTGCTGTGGTGCCCACACAGGTAGTGGGGAGCCCCGCGGGCACCCGTTGTAGCTAGGGGAGGGGTCCCTGAAACGTCCTAGATATAAATGGAGGCAAGGTGGGGATGACCCCCTCTGGTCTCAGGCTGGGAGGCAGCAGGCAGGCACCCCTAGGCACCTGTGCTGCCTGCTGTGGCACAGCAGGCACCTCACGCCCCACCGCAGGAAGGATGGCCGGCATCCGGCAGGTGCACTCCCACGGGGTGAAGTGCTGCTTTAGGACTGGGGCCAGCAACCCACCGGTCACATAAGCAGGGATGGAGTGCTCTTGCAAAATGCTGACTAGCAAGTGGTGAGCCTGAGGTCCCGCCTCCTGCACCTCAGAGCCCGGAATGCACCCCCCTCCCGAGTGGGGTTCCCTCCTTTACTCTGCACCTTGAGCAGCCCTACAGACTAGCCAGGAGGGCCACAATACTGGGCTCTTGTTAGGGGCTCTGCCCTGGCCCTGGGGTAGTTGTGGGGTAGGAGCAGGAAGCACGGGGTTAACATCAAGAGGTTGTTTTAATGTCTGTGCAGAGCTGTCTAAGGGAAGTATTCAAGTCCCCCAAGGGTCCTGCTGCTCTGCGGGGGACACATTCCTAATCCCATTTCTCATCGTACAGCTGTGGCTGTTATCCCTGCAAGTCATGCTGGGCCAGGAGGTGGCTTGGTCTCCACACTCGGGTCACTGACTCTGCACTAATCTCCATTCCGCTGAGATTGCGGGGACCCTGGTGAACCCCTACATCTCAGTATTCCCAGTTTCCTTATCTGTGAATTGGGAATGCAGAAACACACAAGAAAAAGCACATAAAGCATTCAATAGGTCTTAGGACTGAAACTGCTGAGGTCTTTATAGTTTTTGTTGTTTTGATTTAGGATGGGGGAAGGATGCAGCAGTAGCGCCACCCATTTAGAACTTGGGGGGGGGGGCAGTTACCTTATCCCCCACACCGCAGCCTGCTGGTCCCATCCTCAGGAGGTCCCAAGCCACCAGTAAGACGGACGATCAAGGGGGCCTGAGGCCAGCCTGGAGCTGCCATCAGGCTGCCAGTCCCCACTCTTACTGGGGCGACTTAGGGTGAGAGTTACCCAGCCGGAGCTCGATGACTCGCTCTCTCCCTTCCCACAGTGGGCAACTCTCTTGGGGGCAAGCACCTGCCTTTTGGAATGTCCCCACCCTTGAGATCACAGAGGAGCACAGTCCTCCACTCATGGGAGCCCCTCCCAACCGTGGCGGCAGAACTTTGACACCCCAGCCTCCGCTACCCAGCTGGTATCCTCAAGATCTGGCTCTTAGACTGTCCAAGGCCCGGACTCTCCGGGGGTCACTCTGTCTCTCGCGGGGAGGGGTGTCGTTTGCAGCCCCACGCGATACTCCCGAGGACGCCGCGAGGCCCCGTGCTCCCGCGGTTGTAAATGTTGCAGATGGCTCGGGAGCTACAGGCTCCTCCTGCGCATGGTGTGCAGACCCGGGACCGGCGGGGCGCTCCAGTCGCTCCCTGCGCCCTAAGGGACTCTCCCGCAGGGCCAGGCTGCCGGCGGTCCCACCGCGCTCCGCTTCCTCTCGGCAACGCGTCCGGCCGCGGCGTCTTCATTGGCTGCACGCCCCGCAGCCCGCCATTGGTCTGCGGTCCCTATTTTACATAGACCTCTCTGGGCCAATCGGCGTGCGGAGCCTACTTAACATGCACGCCAGCTACCAGTCAGCGAGCGCGGGGGCCGGGCCACCACGTGCTGTTGCTAAGCTTGGGCTTCTAAATTGTTACTAGCGCGGCGGGCCTATCGGAACCCAGCTTCGCATCTGTCAACATTCTCGGCCCGGCCCGAGGCGTTCGGCCGGCTCCCATTGGCCATGGCCCAGGCCAGCGCCCGCCCCCGGAACGCGAGTGCCGGCGTCCATTGGCTGCGCTGGCCGCCGCTCGCTCTTAAGTGTCAATTTGAGGGCCCGAAGCGGAGGGTGGCGGCCGAGCGCACAGGGAGTCCGTAGGAGTCCGGGCAGTGGGGCGGCCGGGCGCGCGGGGCGGGCGGCGAGCGGAGCCGGCCGGAGCGGGCCGGGCAGCGGCCGCCGCCGTCCCGGAGCGCGCGGGCGGGCGCGGGCGGGCCGGAGGATGGAGCTGAACTCCCTGCTGATCCTGCTGGAGGCGGCCGAGTACCTGGAGCGCAGGGACCGAGGTAGCGCCCGCGCCCCTTTGTGCGCCGGGCCGCGGGCGGGCTGGCGGGCGGCGGGGCCGGGGCGGGGCCCGCTGACCGCACCGTCTGTCCGCAGAGGCCGAGCATGGCTACGCCTCGGTGCTGCCCTTCGACGGCGACTTCGCCAGGAAGAAAACAAAGGCGGCCGGCCTGGTGCGCAAGGCCCCGAACAACAGGTACCGCCCCCCGCGCGGCCGCCCCTGCCCGGTTCGGGCCCGGGGCTTCTTTTCTCCTGAGTGCCCTCCCCAGCCCCGACCTCCGGCCTGCAGCCCGGCTGCCGCTCGCCGCCGTGCGCCCCGGCGGCCAGCCTGGAGGAGGAGGCGCGCCCGGGCCGCGGCCGCAGCCCCGCCCGGCCGGCCCCGCCCGCGCCGTCGCCATCTTCCAGCGGGCCGCGCCTCCTCGGCCTCTCGCGTAAACAGTGCCACGCGTACAGCCCCGCTGCCCGGGGTCTCCTCCCGTAGCCGCTCCCCGCCCCCAAGTTGTTCCGGACTTTTCTGGGCAGGAAAAAAGTTGTCAGTGGGCGTTGGCCTGTGCCCCTTGGCTCCGGGGAAACTGAGGCTCGGTGCAGAGCAGCGTGGGGCTGCACCCCCAGACTTTGCTCACCGCGGGTGGGTGGGCCGCATCTCTCCGACTGTCTCCAAGAGCTGAGCCCTGCTGTTGGGCTGAGTCCCTGGACAAAGAAGGCGCAAAGAGGCCCCGTCCTGACCCCCACTCCTCCACAGTACCCACGCTCCTGCCCAGCCTCCTGACACAAGTGAAACTCGGGTGACAAGTGTAGGAGTCCCCTTCTTTGGGACTGGAGGCCATTTTTAAGGGGACAGAAAGAGGGGGCAGGCTGCACAGCTTCTCCCAATGCCAGGAACCCCCCGGCCCCCACCCATGTTGCAGAAACCCTGAAGCTGGGGTGCGCATCCCTAGGTGGGGAGTAGTGGGGATCTTCAGTTGGGCTCCCTGGGGTTCCACTCTTCTGGCGGTTATGAATACCACAGCACACCTGGCACTACCCAGGGCCCACTAGGCCTATACCATGTCATCAGATTGGGAGCTGCACTTGCAGGGGGCTTTGGGGCCCCTTGGTGGAAGGTGCGGTTCATTCCTGTGGCCTGCCTGTTCTTGGGAAACAGACAGGCTGGCACAAGGACCCATCTCCTGTGACGTCCTGGCACCTTGGCCCTGGCAAGGAATTGGTTCAGTCTCCATCTGCCCTGGCTTGGGACCTACATGCCTCTTGAGTCCCAGCCCCTGGTCTCCTGCTGGGGACAATTTGGGAAAGTACATGTTGGGGGGAGGCACTGCTTCAGGCCCCTTCAGTGAGCTAGCCAAGTCCCTGCTGTTGGCTCTCATTGTCCCAGGTGCCCTGCCACCCATGGGAAACTCCAGGTTGTGACTCCCATGGCATGGGGTACCCAAAGCTGATAACTAGAATTACAGCAAAGGCTCTGTGAGTGCTCCCTACCTATTACGTGTCTCAGGCATTTGCTAACTAATATTCACCCAATCCCATGAATGAGAAGCTGTTTTTATCACATGTTAAGGCTGAGGAAGTAGGCACAGAGATTGAACTCCTTGCCCCTCCCACCTCTGAGACTCCTGTCCCAAGGTGGGTCCCTGGTCTCCTACATTCTGCCAGGATGGAGACCTTGAGGGGCTGGGGAAGGACTGAGAGGGTCTCCTGGATTGGGTGCACCTCCCTGCTGCTCCTCTGGGCAGAGCCCGACTCCCCCAGGGCTTGAGACACTGGAGGCTCTTGGAAAAGGTTCCTCAAACTGTCCTGGCCCAGCTGGGCCTCAGCCAGCCCGGACCAGGGGCTAGGGCAGATCAGGGTCCAGAGGACCTGCGCCCTGACTGGGTGGGACATCCCCACACCTGGGTGGTGGGGCAGGAGGGCAACTCGTGTGGGCTCCAGCAAGAGCTTTCAGGGGCACTTGTTCAGCAGGAGGGCCGGAGCCTTCCTTCCAGGAGTGAGGTCCTGCAGCAGCGGGTCTCACTCAGCCTGTGGGTTATGACCCCTTTGGGGGCTGAACGACCCTTTCACAGGGGTTGCCTAAGACATAACATTAGCAAAATTATAGTTACGAAGTAGCGATGAAAATAATTTTATGGTTGGGGGTCACCACAACATGAGGAGCTGTATTAAAGGGTCACGGCATCAGGAAGGTTGAGAACCCCTGCATAGGAAAGTGGGCAGAAGAGCTCCTCAAGGAGCTGACATGAAGGCCAAACCAGGGGATGCTAGGGTCATGTTTAGCATAGCCCTGGCGCGGGTGCCCCATCTCCCCAGGCCACCGTGGGAAGCACAGTGCAGAACAGGGTGCTCCCGGGACCTGTGTGACCAGTCTCCCCACAAGGCTCCCACAGATTCTGGACCAGGAGGGGCTCTAGGTCCCTCTTCATCCCCTACTCCTCAGAAGTGCCCATTTCCTGGCAGGGTGGGGTCCAGCCCAGCCTTCCGGGGGGTGGATGGACTCTTGCTGACCCCTGCATCCTTCACAGGTGGGCAGACCTACAGACTCACCCTGCCCGTCTGTAGTTCAGGCCAACCAGGAGCTTGGCGGCTGTGCCCTGTCCTGGCTCTGGGGAGGTTCTGAGGCACCTTGCCCAGTGCATGTGACCAGCAGGCACTCGAGGACCCTGGAACCTGGTTCTGGAGGCAGTCCTGATGCTGCATAGGGAGGCTTAGGAGCCTGCGCCCCAATGGGAAGAGAGGAGGCCTTGGGCCTCAGTTGGCTATGGCAGGTGGCAGAGGCAGGCAGAATGGAGAAGCACTCTGGCCTCACAGGTGGTGACAGGAAATGCCTAATCCTGAGTTCCTGGAATCAGAGAAACCGAGGACAAGCAGAAGCTCTAGGCACACGGCTTGGTCTGGGTTGCCCCAAGGTGGCCTGGCTGTCTGCTCACATGTGAGGCCTCCTAGCAGGCCTAGGAGCCCTGTCTGGCCCCAGAGGTCCCTGCCTGGACTGCGGGGTGGGAGGGGAGTGATGTGGATATGCCTCATTGTCCCACAGGGCAGACGCTGTGGCATTGCCCACTGCAGTACTCAGGATGCTGTGCCCTTGTCTGAATGGGCCAGATGGGTAGGGCTTGAGCAGCAGATGGGGCCACTGTCCCCCAGGAGGCTGAGCTTGGGCAAAGGGTGGCCACTTCTGCCAGACCATGACCCAGAGGGAAGTGGGGGGCCAGCTTTGGTCTCCCCACTGCCCACTGGCCCAAGAAGCATCCACATCTCAGAGACTTCCTCATGGGCTGGTCCCTCATGGGCTAGGTCTGCTCTGTCCCTGGGTGTCCCTACTGGTACAGTGGGCTGTGATGATGCAGGTGTGTGAGCCTAAGAAGGTGGGACGGTACTCATCCTGGCAGTGTTGGTACAGGACCACCCATGTCCTGGAGCCCTGGCCTCTGTGTCAGCCCATGTGGCTTCAAGGATGCCACTGGCTTCAGGGAGTGGAGAACAGAGAAGGCAGGTAGCTCATTGTCTAGCAGGTGTCTCAGTGACCAGCCTTAGGAGCACAGGGTGGGTATTAGCCCCAGGTCTGGCTACCGTGGCTCCTTGGGCCTTGCCCACCCTGTCTGGAAGGGGACCTGGGTCCTCCTGCTGGCCTGAGCCCCCACATGCCTCACTAGGTGAGCTGGCTGGCCCTGGGCACCCCTGGACATGACTGTGTCTTTGTCTGGCCTGTCCTTGTCACTTGGTGCAAGGTCCCTCTGGCCTTTGGTCAGCAGCTGCTTACCTGTCCTGCCTTCCCTATTCTGGACCATCCTGGGGCCCAGATCCTCCCGCCAGCATCTGCAGATGCCTGGGCCCTCAGCAGAGCCATTGTCCCTGTGCTCTGGTGTCTAGGCAGTGCAGTGAACTTTGTTTTTCTGTCTCTCTAAACAGGTCTTCACACAATGAACTAGAAAAGCACAGGTAAGTGACCCCCTGTCCCCCACCCCAGCTCCTGGCATAAGCTACCAGACTTGTCCTGCTGAGGGGATGCTGCGGCCAGCCTCCCTATTCTGCCACTCCGTGTGTCCTGGGTACAGCTGCTGCCAGGCTGTGCCCTCATCCTAGGACGTGTCAATCTTGAAAGAAGCAGCCAGGCTCTGCGTTTAGGCACTTTTGTGTTAGGAGGCAAGGGTGGGGGCCCAGGCCTGGGGGCTCGGCCTGGGTCCAGCCAGAGCCAGCTGGGGGGGGCAGGGACTTCGGGGAGGGTCCCTTGTGCTATGTGGCAGTTAGGGCCAGCTCCCTGGAGGAGGAGATCCATCTGCTTTGGGGCATCTAAGCCCATTTGAGAGCAAGTCTTTAGTCCTCAGGATGCTGGCTTCCGTCTAGGGGGTTCAGCTCTCTTGGTCTGGGGCCTCCTGCACCTGGGGCCTGCTTTCTAAGGAGCCTCCTGCCAGAGTTTTGTCAACAGGGCAGTGGGACAGGCAGCCGGTCCCAAGCCATGTGGGCCTGGGGGAAGCTCTGGCCCAGGGCAGGCTCTAGGGGAGCCCACTGTTTGCCCACCCCTTGGCTGTAGGGCTAGATCCACTCGGGTCCTCCTGGAGGAAGTGGGTCTTTGGTCACTGAGAAGCGGGAGGGCCAGCACAATCACCACGGAGTCTTCCGGCTCCAGCCCCAGTCACCCTGGGCTGTGTGCCTTCCACCCGGCCTGGCTGCCGGCCTCACTCTGCCTGCAGGGTCTCTGCGACCTTGGGCCTGCTCTGCAGTGGGGACAAGGCACTGGCCAGCTTGGCCTCTGCAGGCGGGTGCCCTCAGGGCTGATCTCAAGGGGCTGGTGGGAGCTATGGGTGAGCACGGAGGCCCCACAGGCAGGAACCCTGGTGCCAGGACCAGGGATGACCCTCTAGGGACACTGTGTGGAAGCTTTCTCTGACCTTTGCTCTCATCTGTGCAGTGGGCCATTCTTGGGGTGTGGAGGGTGGTCTGCATTCCAGTCGAACCTTCAGGGCCTGCTCTGGGAAGGTTTGGAGCTTGGCCAGTTCTCTTTACGCCCCCCCCCCCCCCCATCCAAGGCAGCGCCAACTTCCGCTCCCCTGGGATCAGGCCTGTGCTGGGCGGGCGCTGGGCAGGGACAGAACGCTGTGTTCTCTAGAGGAGCTGCACTTCCTGGGCTGGCCCTGTGTGTTTGAGGGGCTCCTCCGAGGCCATGGAGGTGGGGCAGGTGCAGGGCCCACACAGCTGTGCAGGCCTGAAGTTGCTGTCAGGCTGGAGAAGGTGGCGCTGTTGACTGGGACCCAGGAGCCGGGGCAGGCATGTGGGGAAGGCTTCCTGGAGTGGGACCTGGAACAGCCCCTCAGTGAGGACAGACAGAAAGGATGACAGTGGAGGTGGGTGGGTGGTAAGGGCATGGTAGCCCTTCCGAGGAGGACAAGGGCTTTGACCCCTGCAACTGCCCCTTGACCCTGACCTTGGCTTCAGCCACCTTCTCCCAGAGCCTGCCCTTAGGCTGAGCCTCATGGGGCCCTTTTGAGACACAGTCTGGATGGGTAGGCAGCCTGGGTCTCCCCTATCCAGTGCAGGAGTCTCTGTTCCTGGCTGGCCAGTAGGCAGGTGCGGACAGCCGTGAGGAACCCACAGGCCTGGAGCTTGGAATCCTGGTGGGGACCTCGGTCGTGACTGTACCTGTGGCTGTGCAGTGCTGATGCCGGATGCTCCTGGCCACTGGCCACAGGAAGGGCTGTGTGCTGGCCCAAGGCAGGAAGCACCTGGCTGGGTCACCCAGCTGGCCCCAAGGGAGGCAGGCCCTGGACATCGTCTCCCCTGGAAGAGCGCCGTGCTGGGCCTGCGGGGACATGCTCTGAGCCGGCCTGGTCAGCCCTCGGCCAACCAGCCTGGCCCTGGCCCTCCTCCTTCCTGCCTCATAGTGGCAGCTCCAGTGGGTCTCTAAGGCCGATTCTTGGCTACTGACCCCAGAAGCCTAGGGGTCATTGAGGCCACGTGTTCCTTGACAGGGTGACACCTGGGCCCAGCTCCGGGCTTTAGCTTTTGCATGTGTGAGGAGGCAGGGCTCATCCCACAGGCCAGCCCAAGGCCTCAGTCAGGCCCCACCACCTCTTCCCGGCATGGAGATGCCTGTCCCGGTCCTGGCGGGGTCCCTCCTCGTGCCTTTATAAACCTCGAAGCTAGAAAATGCAGGTGAATGGGAGAGGAGAAGGGGGCTATGCTTGCTCCCCCCTTCCAAGTGCATTTCTAGCTGCTTGTTCTGTGACAGACCGGCCTGGGGTGCTTAGAACATGGACGGCTGGGACCCTGCCCCTCAGGTGCTGGGGGACCCTACATGGCAGCTCGGAGCCTCCTTGGAGGAGTAGGGCTTGTGGTGAGACACTAGGAAGGGCCTGTGTCAAGGGTTGGGCTGTGGGCAGCCACAGAGATGGAGCTGCTGTTAACACGAATGCGGTGATTCCCAGATGCAGGTTCTGCTTCCTGAAGCCACACAGGGTTCCTTCAGGACTCGGTGGGTTTTCAAAGCTCCCAGGAATGCTGGGGACAGCCGCAGGGCCCTGGCGGAGGGCCTGGGCACTGTGGCCGCGTCAGAGGGCTTCACGAGAGTCCCGTGCAGGCCCAGGCTGTGGGGCCTTGGCACCCTCCAGCTTAGGGTGGTCCTGGAGATGCCCACTCCCCACAGGGATGCCACATGGGGGCTCAGAAGGGTGAGGACCGGCCCAGAGCCCCACAGCCAACTCTCCTGGGGCAGGCTGAGCGTGTTGTCCAGTGTTAAACGGGGCACAGTATAGTCAGGTGGTCTCTCTTGGCTTTTTGAGAAGTGTCTGCTTTGTGATCGCTAGAACAGACACTTCGCGTCTGTCCTGGATGCTTAGACTGCCCTTGTGCCATGCCCACCCCACCGAGCCATCCTAGGCAGCTGGAAGGCCACTCCAGCCTCCTCCTCCACCACTCGGGTGCTGACTTGGATAAGAACCAGACCTGTTATCCGCTGTTTCCTCACCTGATCTTTCACCTGACACTACCTGAGCGCTGTCCTCCCATGTCCCCGCGCTCTCCTCCTCCTCCTGGTCCTCCTGCTCCTCCTGGTATCCCCACCTCCTCCACCTCCTCCTGGTCCTCCTGGTATCCCCACCTCCTCCACCTCCTCCTGGTCCTCCTGGTACCCCCCACCTCCTCCACCTCCTCCTGGTCCTCCTGGTATCCCCACCTCCTCCACCTCCTCCTGGTCCTCCTGGTACCCTCCACCTCCTCCTGGTCCTCCTGGTACCCTCCACCTCCTCCTGGTCCTCCTGGTATGCCCCACTTCCTCCTGGTCCTCCTGGTCCTCCTGGTATCCCCACTTCCTCCACCTCCTCCTGGTTCTCCTGGTATCCCCACCTCCTCCACCTCCTCCTGGTCCTCCTGGTACCCCCCACCTCCTCCACCTCCTCCTGGTCCTCCTGGTACCCTCCACCTCCTCCTGGTCCTCCTGGTATGCCCCACTTCCTCCTGGTCCTCCTGGTCCTCCTGGTATCCCCACTTCCTCCACCTCCTCCTGGTTCTCCTGGTATCCCCACCTCCGCCACCTCCTCCTGGTCCTCCTGGTACCCCCCACCTCCTCCACCTCCTCCTGGTTCCCCTCCTCCTTCTGGTCCTCCTGGTCCACCCCTTCTTCTCCACCTCCTCCTGGTCCTCCCCCTCCCTGCTCCTGGTACCACACAGGACAAGCGGCTGTACCGCAGGGTCTTAGCCTGGCTGTGGTTAATGTCTGGGGGTAGTTTTCTGGGATCCGAGGAGAAATGCGGGTTAGGTTTGAGCTGCTGCAGTGGCCTTCAGAACCCCTGTCCGCTGGCAAGGCCCAGAGGGGCTCGTGCACTGGCCAGCCTCTCCTCATTTCCGCCCAGACCAGTGCCTCCTTCGTGAGTTTCCATGTCCTGGAAACTGGGAGGTTGGTCAGCTTTGTGTCCGATTAGCCATCTCTGTTCTGTAACTTGCCTGTTTGTGTCCTTTGCCCGTTTCACATCGAGATATTCCTCTTTTTTATTTTTGCTGTGTATGAGCTCAGAATGTCATGAATACTAACCGTTTGTCTTTTATATGTATTGCAAATATTTTCCACTGTTATTTGTCTTATAGCTGTGTTTTTTCTTTCTTGTACAAATGTGTCTTTTTCTGATTGTAAAAGTAATATGTGGTTTTTTTAGCATAGAAAACCTGGAAAATACAAAAAAAAAAGCACAAAGCCAAAGAAATAAACATTGCCAACCACCTCACCTGGAGACGCATGCTTCCTGCTCTTCATTGTGTCCTGTGGAGTCTCTCGTGTGCGTCTGCTGTTTCGTTTTTTTAAACAATATTGGGTCACCTGTGACATCGGCGGTCTGTGTGCCGACTGTTTCACTTACATTCCTGATGTGAACATGTGGAACACACTAGAACGATGCTGCTGCTGGTTGTCTGGGGGTGGAATTCGGGGGTGTTTGCATTTCTTTCTCCTGATGATTTGCATTTTCTAATTTTCACCAAGATTGCATACTGAGTACGTAAACAGTAGGTTGTAAGAACTGCCATTTGCTAGGAGCAAGCAGACAAGGGAACCTCACTTACTCGCTGGGTGGCGGGCAGCGGGGCCGCAGGGTGAGGGGGTGCCTAAGGGGGTGACCAGCAAGCACCTCCCCAGCTCTGCACAGTCCTGGCCCGACCCTCAAGGGGCGAGCATGCTGGCACCTTGGAAATGAGGAGGCTGAGGTCCTCGGACTCGGGGGGTCGGGATCATGCAGCAGTGTCCTGGGGCCCTGAGGCTGGAGTTCTGGAGCCCACCAACATGACCCCTTCCCTAGTCCTGCATTTGTGTGGGGTGGGGGCTCTCCTCTGAAGATTGGCCAGCCTTGAGGCAGAGCTGTGGGCTGCTCTACACAGGTCCCCAGGGTCCAGGCCTTTGAGGTCCCGGCTCCTCGTTGCCTCATGGCTGACCTAGCACAACCTCTGTCCTGTGTCCTGAAAGTTCTTCCTAAGGTCGGACTTGGTGTCACCTGGAGAACTTCCAGGCCCCAGGGTGCTGGATAGGGAGATGCTTCATCAGCAGGAGGGTGCTGTGTGGACGTGGGTGACAGACAAGGCCCCGGCTTTGGGCACCCATCTGTCCAGAGGCGGTGCCATCTGCCCACTTCCCTCCCAGCGTCTCTAAGGCCAAGTGAGCTGGGGTTTGCTGTGTTTTGGAACATAGAGAATGGAGATGAAAAGAGGGGGCCGCCAGTGTGAACATCCCCCAGCCCCTCGTCCCCTCAGCCTGAACAGAAACAGTCTCCGCAGCCTGCAGGGCCTCTGGCGCCTGTGGGTGCGTGGCGGGCAGGGCCCGTGGTGTGGCATCTTGGGGGCCAGAGTGTGCTGTGGGGGTGGACTTTAGCATCCGCCCCATCCACCTGCCTGCTCTCCCCAGACGAGATGAGCGAGGAGGGCAGTATCTGTGCCAGGGCACTTGGCCTGAACAGACGCCAGTCCTGTGATTCCAGTTTGTGGAAAAACTGCATTCGTCTGCGTGGACACGGGGCCAGAATCTGGAAAGAAGCAGTATCCCACAGGACGCCAGCCTCGGGTGGGAGGGCCCGGTCCTCAGCCCTCCCTGACCCAGATGGACTCCTGTTTCTGTGCGGATGAGAATGACCAGCGAGCACCCTGCACTTGGCAAGGCGGGGGATGTAAATCTGGTCTGAGGCCCCCGGATCTCTGGGAGCGGCCCGGCCAGCACCCTGCACCTCCGCCACCTCCTCCAGGCTGTCTCCCTGCCCACCAACTCCACTGTGGAGGGTGGGGACAGCAGGGTGAGCTGGAACTCTCGGGCAGTGCCTGGCCATGGCACTCAGGCTCTGGGAAGCTGTGGGGGCTTGCTGGACACACAGGTCCTCTTCTGCTGTGGCATCTGGAGTGCCAGGCTGCCCCAAGGCCTGGGGAGCTGCCAGCCAGGTGGGAAGGGCACTCCAGATGGGCCCCTCAGCAGGTCTGCCTCCTGCCCTCCCTCAGACCTCTTAACCACTGCTGCTGCTGCCACTGCCCCAGAGGGCCGGGCTGCCCTGCCTGATGGTGCGTTCTGTCTCTGGCTCTTTCAGACGAGCCAAGCTCAGGCTCTACCTGGAGCAGCTGAAGCAGCTGGTGCCCCTGGGCCCCGACAGCACCCGCCACACCACGCTGAGCCTCCTTAAGCGCGCCAAGACGCACATCAAGGTGAGCAGGGCTGCACCCTCTGCCACCACCCTGGCCAGCTGCATGGCTGACCCAGCCCAGCCCTGTGCACCTAGGGGCATGACTGCAGGGCCTAAGGGCGGGATGGGCACTGCCCAGCAGGTATACATGGGGGCCTGGGGATCTTGGGGTGGGGGCAGGCAGCAGCAGGAGCTGCTGAGGGTTGAAGGTGCCATGGACACACGCTGGGTTTTGTTGGGCTGGGGGAGGGGGCGGTGGGTAACAGATGGCCCTCCAGTGTCCTGGGCTGTGAAGGTGGGGCCAGGAGGGCAGGGTTGCTGCAATGCTGGGGGCTCATGGGAAGTAGATGCCTAGCAGTGGGGGAGCTTCTGGAGCTGAGGGCTGGTAGTGGGGTGTTGCTGAGTGAGACCTTGCCTGGGGCAGTCCCCCAGGGTCTGAGACAGACCTGCTCCGTTTGTGATCCTGTGGTACTTGGACCAACCAGGTAGTCTTAGTCTCCTTGCAGGGCCTCTGGGGCCTACTTAGGCATGGACACCCCAGGCAGGGTAACGGGAGCTTTGAGAGAGGCACAGTGGTGCCCTGGGGCACAATCAGGGCAGGCAGTCTCAGTGCAGGGATGGTATGGAGAGGGCAGGGGGGCCGGGAGGGCCAGGCACAGGCCAGGCAGGTACCATGTGGGCAGGAAAGATGGCCGTGGGCAGCGCTGTCCCCTGGGAGAAGGTGGCAGCCCAGGGCTGAGCGGTGCTGTCCTGGGGCTTCAGGCCCACACATGACTTGTCTTGGGCAAGCTGGCTGGTGGCTGCGGGCCTTCTGGAGCTGGTCAGCAGAGCTCAGGGCTGGGAGGTGACACCTAGTGTCACCATCTGGTGGGGTGAAGGCAGGGATGCATCCGCCATCAGGGCCTATGGGGTCTGGGCAGCCTGTGGCCCTGGACCCAGGCCAGATGGGGGACAGGGAACCTGCCCAGGCCTCATTGCTGGGTCTGAGAGTGGGGGAGGGGTGTCCCCCAGGCTCACAGCTCCGCCCTGCCTCCAGAAACTGGAGGAGCAGGACCGCAGGGCACTGAGCATCAAGGAGCAGCTACAGCGAGAACACCGCTTCCTGAAGCGGCGCCTGGAGCAGCTGTCGGTTCAGAGCCTGGAGCGCGTGCGCACGGACAGCACGGGCTCTGCCGTGTCCACGGACGACTCGGAGCAAGGTGGGCACAGTCTTCGAGCAGCCCCACAGTGGGGGCTGGCAGGTGGGGCTGGCCAGGGAGTGTCCTGAGGGAGGGTGGGGATGATAGCTTGGGCAGCAGATGCCCACGTGACACTGTGTCCCTGCACTGTCCTAACACCTGCTGTGTGTGCACAAGTGAGGGGACGCAGTGGGCATCGGGGTCAGGTGACCTGCCCACACGAAGCAGTGTGCTTCGGGGGCTGTGTTCGTAACTGAGCTGCAGACCTGGAGCCCCGTCTTTCCTGAACCACCACCCCTGGAGCCTCTGCTTCCTCCCCGAGAGGCAGAGGCCTGCCCTCACCTTGCCAGGAGCTTGGCTGGCACCCTCACAGCGCCCGACCCCGTCCTCTCTGCTCTCCCCAGAAGTGGACGTGGAGGGCATGGAGTTTGGCCCCGGCGAGCTGGACAGTGTTGGCAGCAACAGTGACGTGGATGACCACTACAGCCTGCAGAGTGGCGGCTGCAGCGACGGTGGCTATGGGTACCCCTGCCGGCGGCCTGCCCGCCCCGGCCTCTCGTAGGCCCAGTGCCCTCTGCTCCTTGGCCCACCTGCCGCCCAGCCAAGTGCATCAACCCTCCAGTCCTCTCAAGCCCCTCCACGGGCCCAGTGCAGTGCCATTTTGGAAGCTCCAGCAGCCTCCTGGGCTGCCCACCTCCACCCGCCTGCCGGTCAGGGCCCACCTCGCCGCCCGCCCCTCCCAGCTGGGCAGGGACCCCTGCAGGGAGGCGGGCCCAGCTCCCGAGTCCGAGTCCCGGAGCCCAGAGTAGCCACCTGTGGTCTGTTCTCAGATTCCTAATCATTCCAGAAGTATTAAATGTCATTGCTGCAAACCTCGGCAGGCACCGTGTGAGGGGCTTAATGACCACCATGGGGAGCTCAGCCCCCACCTCGGATCCCAAGAGAAAGGAGTGGACTGAGGAAGGAAGGAAGGTGTGGCTCTCCATCCATCCATCTGTCCATCTATCTGTCGGTCCACGTAGGCTCCTGAAGTATGGACAGAGAGATCCATGAAGGGCGGGACTCGGGTGAGCACCCTGGGGCAGGAGGGCGGGAGGGGCCTTTGTACCCTGGGGGTGTCAGGAGCCAGGGCTGGGCTCCTGGGACAGGACAGGCCACCCCACACCCAGCTGTGCAGTTTCTGCTTTGTTAGGTCCCTCAGGTGTACACACGCATGCACTTAGTCATGTCCGCCTGCCTGCACACACATGCACACACGCAGACACATCTAGTCACCAGACCCAGAGGTGCCTGGGACCCAGAGGGCACTGGTCCTGGGGTGGTTGGCCTTCAGGGGCCACCTAGGCAGACGCTGGCCCCTGGCCTGTGCCCGGCTCCCTCTCCCACCCCCAGTCACCTGCCCAGTGTGCACAAGGAAGGGGGCTTCTGCACCCAGCAGGGGCTGAGGTGTGTGCTGGGGGCCGAGGAGTCGAAGCCACTGGGTCCTCAGGGGCTTTCTGGTCTCCCTTTCTTAAAAAAGGGCAAAAATAAGCAAATGGCTGCGCTGTGCAGCAGCCCAGAGCAGGGCCCTGGGAGAGAGGCTTTCTCGAGCACAAAGGAAACGTTTCTAACGAGAGAGGCTCTGAGGACTCCGGCCGCCCGGGGCTGTCAGCGCGTGCCGCCTCGATTTCCTGTACGAGACTTTTGTACACTATTTTCCTAGTCGCCATTGCGTCCTTGTTTGCCGAGGGGTGGGAGCCACCCAGCGTCTCAGGGACTCATCTGTCTGTCACCATTGTCCAAGTGTGCCTTGTGTCCTGTGTCTGGCCCCACCCTGACGACCACCACCAGCATCTCCCTCAGGACTCATGGGGGACACCCACCTGCCCAGCAGGTGTCCCCACGGACTTCCTGGGAGTGAGGCTGCAGGGCCAGGTCAGAGGCAGCTTTCTGTCACCTCAGTGGGAGGAGCCGTGACAGGTCCCTTAGTGTTACCCTCCCCAGTGGCCAGCAGGGCCCTGCTGTGCAGCCCAGCCTCCAGGTCGGGAGGGCCTGCTAACCAGAGAAATAGGTTCTTACCTGTGCCCAGCTTGAATCCTCTGCGGCCCCCTGCCTGGGGCGGGGCTCCAGATTTCAGACGTTGGCAGCTGATGAAGACAGCGTTCACCCTGGGTGGCAGGCTTGAGCATTAGGCTTCTCCTGGCCTGTCATTCCCGAGTCCTCGCCCCCAGGGACCACACAGCAATACTCGGGTGGCAGGCATTGGGCTGACCCCCGCAGCTCCTGCCTCCCTCTCTTGTGTGTTGTAACCCATGTCCCGGTCGTGTTTCTCTTCAGTCATGCCAACAGACACCCCAGATGGTGGCCTCCCTGAGGAGAAAGGGGTCCTTGGAGAGACAGCTCTGGCACAGAACCTGCCCTGCGGGGCTCCGGGTGATGGGTGAAAAGCGGCTTGTGGGGTCGGGGCTGGGGCCTTAAGGGGAACTGTTTTCTTGGCATCTCCTTCCAGCTAAAGTAGGGGCCCTGTGGGGGCCTCTCCTGTCTACCTGAGGATGTCCACTGAGCATTAGGGCAGGAATACCCACAGCTGAGAGCCTGCTTCGGGAGACACAAGTCAGGCCCCTGGGATGGTCTGTGTACTGAATTCTTAAAGCATCAGCTCCCCATTCCACCCGTAACACCTGCAGAAGTTCTGCTCCCATCTCTGGCTTCGGTGTCCTACCCCATGACCAGCTGTGGCCCTCGGCCCACCCAACTGGCAGCTCCGCCCATGGCTTTTCAGGCTGTGGTTTCCAAGGGGGCCGAGGAGTTTGCCTCACTGGCCACCCAGCAGTGCTGTGGTCCCAGCTGCTTCTCCCTGCACCAGCAGACATGTGAGGGGGTGGTCCTGGGGGCCAGGCCAGGTGCTAGGAGTTACACATCCATTCTCCCTTTCTCCAGCTCCCTTCCATTTGCACAGGTTGGCTGTTGCAGGTGGCCATGGGGACCCAGAGAGGGCCCTGCTGAGGCCATGTTAGATGGTCAAGGGTATACCTGAGCATTGTCAGGTCTATAGAAAGCAAACGTGACCAGAACAGGGCCACTGGGGTGCCTGCACTCTTCCTCCATGCACCCCCCTGTGCCCATGTGGGCCACTGTCATTTGGTGGCTGAGATCCTAGAACCCCAGGCTCAGGTTTGGGTTCCCACCCTTGTGCAGTGGCCCCCACACTCCTGGCCACCACCCTAGTGTAGGAAAAGCTGGCTGGCTTCAGAATGGCTCCCTCTCCTTGGAGCCTTGGGCCTGCTTTCTGCAGATTGGGCCTCAGAGGCCTGGTACCCAAGCCTGCTTCCTGGGCAGATGCCCCGATGGCCCCCTCCTGTCTGCCCCAGACAATCCTCATCTGCTGGGCAAAGTAGGCTTCCCTCACTCCCTACCCCCTGCTTCTCTCTGGGCTTGCTAACCTGGGGCCCCCTCCCCACCTCTGTGCACACAGGACTCTGACCCCAGGCCACATCCAGGGCACTAGGGCAGGTTCTGTGCCAGAGTCGGGTTGCCCAGGAGGCCTGGTGCTGGCCAGGTGGGCACATTACAAGATCCTCGATGGAGAGAGATGGGTCGCTCACCCACTGCTCACCTGGAGGGACTATGCTGTACCATCCTGTCTTTGTAATATAAATACAGATTTTTATACCTCATCCCTCTGGTTTCCAGTTCTTTCCATCACTGTGTTCAACTCTCTCCCCTCGGCCTCCAGAGGGAGCCTCTTGGTCCTCACTGCCCTGCCCGTGGCCTTTGCTCTGTGACACCCGATGGGCCAGGGGCCTCCCACACCTGCTGGCTGGCCACCACTGAGACCCCACTGTCACAGCTGCCCTCCTGGACAGGCACAGCTAGACCGGAAAGAAGGTGGAGGTCGAGGTGGAATACTCCCATGCACAGCTGTTTGCCAACCAGGAGCTTCTGCTTCAGGCATTCAGACTTGCCTCTGGCCCTAGGGCTGGGCAGTGCCTCCTGAGGACAGCTCAGCCCTTAAAGTACTCCGTGCCTCTCAGGTACTCTGGGCCTGCCTCTTCGTGCCATTCTTCACAGAGGCTACTGGCCCTCTGATGCACCCGAGAAACCCCTTTTGGAGCTGTCCTTAGCATCCCCAGAATGTCCTAGGCATGGCCTCTGCCCACCCCACCCCCCGTCAGGACCTACAGTGTGGGGAGGGGGTGTGCAGTGGTGTGGCCCCAGCAGAGGATAGCAGGGGAGCAAATGCTTTCCCAGAGTGATGGAGAGTTGGGTAGCCAGAACAGGGCTGCCACACTGGACACGCACCACAACAAACGGGAGACCCACCGACGGCTTTGGGGTGTCTTAGGAGTAGGATCTGAGTTCTTCCCTCCCACAGCAGCAGGCAGTAGTGCTCTGGCCTCTTGAGCCTGTGTGGGTCCCCCTGGAGGCACCCCTAGAAAACAAGGGACTTCCTATTGAGAACACAGCTGGGTCCAAATGTAAAAGGGGCATTTGAATTCCAAATGTCAGTGATTTAAAATCACCACCACGCCCTGGCCAGTTTGGCTCCGTGGTTGGAGACCTGCAGACCACAGTCCTGGGTTCGGTTCCTGCTAGGCGCACGTAAAAAAAAAAAAAATGAATGAAGGATAAACTCACCACCACTTTTTTACTGAGGGCAGGAGGGCTTCAGGAGCTGTACTAAGCAATTTAACATAGTTAGCACCAGTTTCATCTCCATATTTCAGGCCTGGGTTACAGCAAGCAACCCCCAAGTGGGCCAGAATGACTTCAGTGGTCTTGTTGCTCCCCATCATCTCCAGAATAAACCCAGTGCCTGCTCTGTCCCCATTCGCTCCTATTTCAACTGAGCCCACTCCCACCCTTGCTCCCCTGTCCCGCTGCACAGCTCAGCACCTCCTCTGGGAAGTGGACCCTGAATCTCCCATGCCCCTTCCCATCACATTTTCGCTGGGTTTATGGCCATTCAAACTAGGTGCTCATCTAATCTGGGTTTATCAGAGGGTGTTTTTCCTGTTGTTTCCTTTCATTCATTCCCAGTCCTAGAGCCAGGCCCAGACCCCCAGTGCACACAAATCCCATGGCATCTTCCCAGAATGTAAATGGGAATTTGCTACTTGCCCTTTTGGCTCACAGTGACTCTCAACCCTCCGGGTTCAGTGCCTTCTGCCTTCTCAAGCCCTTCACAGACCACATCCCCCCTCCCAAGCCCCTCTGCTGCCCCTTTTCTCCCACAGCCGTACTGTACCCTTCCCCAGGCCATCTTCATGAGCTCCAGAGTTTGAGGACTGAATGTCAACGTGGTAGAAGACAAACCCTTCTGCCACCCTCCTCCAACCCTGCAGAATAACCATGTCTTCTGCTATCTTCAGCACAGAAAGGATTAATAAGTGCCACTTTCTGGCTCAGCTGGAAACCAAGTCAACCAGCCATGTACTCTCTGGCCAGCAGGCCCAGGGTTCTGCCCTGGGGCAGGGGGCTCTCTGCCCCCAGCCCCTCTGCCCCAGAGTACCCTGAGCCAACTCCCTCCTCTCCCCAGTGCACCAGAGTCCCCCCTGCACCTGTCTCTCGCCACCTTTTGTCACGTTTGTTACTGCAGAATCAAGCTTCTAACATGAGCCTCAGAATGTCACTCCTCTGCTTTAACACGATCCCCACACCCTATTGATCGAAGAATGGGTTCCTGCCATCAGATGTCACTGAAAAATTACATCTAAAAACAAATGGTCTTTAACATCAGACTACAGTTTATTTTTATCTTTTGAATTTTTTTATTGTTGAAAGTATTACAGATGTCTGACTATAGTTTAAACACGTGAAAAGACATTGTCCAAAACCTAAAGTACTTTTTAATATCAGGAGAAAAAAGATTCCTACAGGAAGGAGAAAAAGCAAACAAAACACTTGACGCTGCAGCTGGGTTCAGGTCTGTTTAGTCTGTTACATTCTCCTGAGTTTTCTCAGGGGATTCACCCCTGAGTTCCCTTTCTCTTTTGATTCCATAAATAACCCCACTGAAACCTCAAATTATTTTGATTAGATGAAAGAGAGCCTGTCCTGAAGTAAGTATAACATATTTGCTTTCCTAAATTCCAAATGCAACCTCAAGTACATAAATGCCCTTATAAGTCAAGTTTGCAAAGAAAATTTCCAAGTCTGTATAGTTGAACCTATTGGGTCTGTCATTTGTGCTCTGGGGGCTGATACCATTGATTTTTACTTTATATTTTTATGGGGTTTTTTTTTTTTTTTTTGGCCCCACCAACATCTTTCAAACAATTAACTCGGTCAGTAATTCAAAACCACGTGGAGAATTTGTGGGCCCATTAAATGACCCAGGAGTCACTAGGAAAAGTGGGTTTCTAGAACAACCTCGTGTGCTTGGGGTCTCACCATCCTGTCCCCCAGGGATCTTTCTATAAAGTAGCCCATTTTCTTTCTGGCATCTTTACTACTGTCTCCTCTGAGTTCCTCCTCACAGTCTATAAATATCTCCAAGTTCCTCCCATCTTAAAACAAAACAAAACCCAAACCCTCCGCCAGCCCTGCATTCCCACCCCCTCATCTCATGTCTTTTTGCTCCTCCTGTCTCTCTCTCCTTCAATCTTTGCCTCCTCAGCAAACTTTTTTTTTTTTTAAAGAACTGTTTTGTTTTTTTTTTTGTCTTTTGTTTTTGTTGATCCTCACCCGAGGATATTTTTACACCGAGTTTTAGAGAAAGTAGAAAGGAGGGGGTAGGTGGAGAGAAAGAGATGAGAGAGAGAGAAACATCCATCATCATCGATGTGAGAGATGCATTGATTGGTTGTCTCCCATATGTGCCTGGGCAGGGGATCAAACCTGCAACCCAAATAGGTGCCCTTGAACCTGTGCCCCTTCCATGGGCAGCCCACACTCTAACCACTGCACCAGGTGGCCAGGGCTCAGCAGTTTTTTGAAGGCAGTTCCTGCACATCCTTCACTTCCTGCAAGCTAGCTGAACTCCTTCCTATCTCCTGCCCCAGGACAACCCCCAGGCCCTGTCCCCACCATTGGCTGATGGGGTCCCACTGGTCCAGGGGCTCTAACCTAGCCTTGCAGCCCACCTGCAGGATCCATTTACCCTCCCATTTCAGGGGTGGGCCCGCCCCCCGTTGGTTTCTCAGGTCATTTCAGGCTTTACTGTCTTTTAGAAGAGGATAAAAAAGTAAAACAAATAATCACTAGAAAGTATCTCCAACTCAAGATTAATTTGTGATATCTGCCTTAAAACAGTCTTTTCTTTTTTCTCACCTTAAACATATTAAGAAAAATTATCCAGAAAGACTTCTGCCCTTCCAATGTCACACTAGGGCATTCATTATCTAACAAGCCACCTTAGTCATTTGGTGTGGAGAGAATCCTTGCATATATTTAGACGTTGATTTGTAGAAGACTGGTAAATAAATAGACTAATTTGCCCGGTGCAGATGTACTAAATGAGTTCCGTCCAAAACGAATGAGAACCCCAAAGCTGCGTTCATTGCACGGGATGGCATCAACCAGGTTTGCATGGAACTTGGCAACCTTATTTCCGCGCTCTGTCCTTCGACTACACTCGGCCTGCTTCTGGCACTGGCTGGAAACAGTGTCCATACTGAGTTTAAACCGTCTTCAGAAGCTATGCTTTGAAAATGGGACCGTGGGGGAAGTCGGCTCTCGCTTAGTGGTCAGGTAAGGGCTGGCTCTCAAACTGCTTTCGAAATAGCGTTCATTTTGAGACTGTAAAGCGAGTCATAAAACAGGAGGCCGCCGGGCACTGCTCCGATCGCTCTAGGCCCACGACCCGCTCACTCGCACGACTTCTCCGAGGGGCTCTGACCGGACGCGGGCGCTGGGCCGGGGCTGCCCGGGTCACGCAGCAGGCGAGCGCTCGGGCTGGCTCGGTCCACGCTCCTGGCAGCGGGGCTGTCGCCTAAAAGCCTCTCACTAGGGTGCGGGGGTTGGGGTCCGAGAGCAGGGAGCTGGACTGAGCGGAGGAGCCCATCGCGCGGGGAGAGCACCGGTCTTCGGGGTGCAGGACGTCAAGGCCGGAGGGCTGCGCGAGGCCGAACCTCCGCAAGACTGCAGCCCGGACCCCAAGCGCGCCTGGCCCCGCCCCGCCTCGGGTCCGCCCCTAAGACAAAGCCAATCAGCTCGCGCCCTGTAAGGAGCTGCCCGCCCTCTGCGGCCCCGCAGCTTCCTGTTCCGCGCCTGCGCAGACGGTCGCCCCGCGGCCCCGACGGGGTCCTCTGCGCGCGCGCGGTGAGGAGCTCCCGTGAGGCAGTGCGAGGCGCGGAGTGCGGCGGCGGCGCGGAGGGGCGCGGCCGAGCTTCCCGAGGTGAGTCGTCGGCCTCGCAGTCCTGGGCGGCGCGGGCCTCGGGGCGGCGCCGACCACCGGCTGCCTCCTCTCTTCGGGCGCCCCTGGGGACTCCCTTCAGGAGCGCGAGGAGCCGGAAGGTGCTGTCGGAGTCCGCCGCTCGGAAGCCGGGACCAGGGGCGGGGACCGGCGACCGGCGGGGGCCGCGGGCGAGGGAGTGGGGGCGCCGGCGGGAGAACGAGGGGCGCGGGTGAGGGAGGGGGGGCCCCGGCGGGAGGGCGAGGGGCGCGGGTGAGGGTGGGGGGCCCCGGCGGGAGAGCGAGGGGCACGGGTGAGGAGTGGAGGCCCCGGCGGGAGAGAGAGGGGTGCGGGTGAGGGAGGGGGGCACCGGCGGGAGAGAGAGGGGTGCGGGTGAGGGAGGGGGGGCACCGGCGGGAGAGAGAGGGGTGCGGGTGAGGGAGGGGGGCACCGGCGGGAGAGAGAGGGGTGCGGGTGAGGGAGTGGGGGCCCCGGCGGGAGAGAGAGGGGTGCGGGTGAGGGAGTGGGGGCCCCGGCGGGAGAGAGAGGGGTGCGGGTGAGGAGTGGAGGCCCCGGCGGGAGAGAGAGGGGCGCGGGTGAGGGAGCGGGGGCTCCGGCGGGAGAGCGAGGGGCGCGGGTGAGGGAGGGGGGGCGCCGGCGGAGAGTGAGGGGCGCGGGTGAGGGAGGGGGGGCGCCGGCGGGAGAGAGAGGGGCGCGGGTGAGGGGGGGACCCCGGCGGGAGAGCGAGGGGCGCGGGTGAGGGAGGGGGGGCGCCGGCGGGAGAGCGAGGGGCGCGGGTGAGGAGTGGGGGCCCCGGCGGGAGAGAGAGGGGCGCGGGTGAGGGGGGGGCCCCGGCGGGAGAGCGAGGGGCGCGGGTGAGGGAGGGGGGGCGCCGGCGGGAGAGCGAGGGGCGCGGGTGAGGAGTGGGGGCGCCGGGCGGGAGAGCGAGGGGCGCGGGTGAGGGAGTGGGGGCGCCGGCGGGAGAGCGAGGGGCGCGGGTGAGGAGTGGGGGTGGTGGCGGCAGGGCGCCGGGGCGCGTGTTGTTGGGGTCCACTGGAGGCGCGGACGAGTGTGAGGAGCTGCACGCCCTGCCTGAATGCCTGCCGCGCTGCGGGGGCTCCAGTGGCGGGAGAACCGGCCTCCGCGGTGTGGTGCGGGCACCTGAGCCTCTCTCTTGCCCGCCAGGTCCTCCGTCCGGACGGCACTGGGCACTGGGGTGAATGGCGGAGGCAGACTCGGCCGCCCAGGTGAGTGTTTTCTGCGGACTCCCCGCAGAAGCTTCCAGGCTGGGAACTGGGGGTGCTTGGGCGCCCTCCTTTTGAATGAAAAAGGAGCTGATCTGTAAGGAGAAAGATCTCCTACCCTTTGAGAGTGGAGGGACCTGAGTGTTATGCTGAGCGAAATAAGCCAGAGAAAGACAGGTACCGCGTGATCTCACTATGTGTGGAATACGATTAGCAGATACGCTTACAATCAAAATAGATGCAGAGACGTGGAAGTCGGGAACAGGCTGGCGAACCTGGGGGGAAGGGGGGTAAACCAAAGAACTTGCATGCATAACCCATAGGCACAGACAGTGGGGGTGGGGGGGGCGACATCTGTAATACTCTCAAAGATAAAAATAAATATTTTTAAAAATGGAGCTACTGTTGTATACACTATAATGTATTTTAAGCCATTTATCTTCTGGGAAACGAGTCTTGTTGTTTTTTTTAAATATTTTTTTCCTTTATTGATTTTACAGAGAGAGGGAGAGAGAGAAACGTCAATGAGAGAGAACATTGATTGGCTGCCTCAGGCATGACCCCCACTGGGGATCAAGCCCACAAACCTGAGCATGTGTCCTGATCTTGAATCCAACCCGACCTCTTGGTGCATGGGGCGACCACACCTACAGGACAAGAGTGTCTTGTTAATGAGGTTCCTAATGTGGCAGTGTTCTGAATTACACCCTGATTGTTTATTTTGTTTCTTTCTGGTGAGACAGCGGCCTCTGGGCTAAATGGTGTCATTTGATATTTAGCTAAAGATACAGTCACCTTATTTGTGGTCTAACACTTGTTTTTTTTCTCCCTTAGGAGAAATCATTATATATTCTAAAAATATTTTCCCCCTTTTCTGTGGACTTAAAATTAGTTTGGTTTGTATTTGGATTTGTTTTCAAAATATCAGTACCATAAATCCATATCAGTTACCAAAAATTAGCGGAGTTAAACCATGAGTTGTGGAAAAGATTTTGTGGAAACATTAAAAAAAATTGATTATCCCAAAGCTGATGTTCTTAATGGGGAAGATTTTGACTGGTTGTTTGAGACTGTTGAATACCAGTCATTTTTGAAGTGGTTTTGTGGGACAGTGAATGAACAGAACGTGTTGTCTGAAGAAGAATTAGAAGCTTTCAGCATTCTTCAAAAATCAGGCAAGCCCATCCTAGAAGGAGCAGCATTGGATGAAGCTCTTAAAACCTGTAAAACTTCTAATCTGAAGACACCTACCCTGGATGACAAAGAGCTAGAGAAATTAGAAAATGAGGTTCAGACTCTGCAGAAATTAAAGAACCTAAAAATTCAACGACGTAATAAATGCCAATTGATGACTTCCATAACTAGGCACAAATCTCTGAGGTTAAATGCTAAAGAAGCAGCAGCCACTAAAAAGCTGAAGCACAGTCAAGGAATTCTAATTGCTATGATTAGTAAGATTAAGAATGAACTTCAGGCTCTTACAGATGGAGTTGCAAAACTGATGATGTTCTTCAGACCTTCGAATTTGGGTCAAGGGACAAATCCATTGGTGTTTTTATCCCAGTTTTCCTTGGAAAAATACCTTAGCCAAGAAGAGCAAAGCACAGCAGCATTAACTTTATATACCAAAAAACAGTTCTTTCAGGGTATACATGAATTGGTTGAAAGTTCAAATGAAGAAAATTTTCAGCTTTTAGATATACAAGCACCATCTACTTGTGATAATCAAGAAATCCTTGAGGAGAGACGGCTAGAGATGGCTAGGTTGCAGCTAGCATACATTTGTGCTCAGCATCAGTTAATTCACTTGAAAGCACGTAATTTGAGCATGAAGTCAAGTATAAAATGGGCGGAGGAGAATCTTCATAGACTCACTAGCAAGGTAAGTGATAAATGAGGCTGGACTCATTGTAATAGTTAGTAATGGAGGATACAATATTGATATTAAAGTTTCAGAAAGGGGGATGTAATAAGTCATTACATTTTCTTTGTTCAGTGCTTAGTCATGAAATGGTAAGTGTTTCATACAGATAGATCCTCATTTTAGTGGAGGACAGAAATAGTAATTATAATCCCAGCCACATTATGTAACTAATTTTAAACAAAAGTATTTTTGTATTCTGAATTTGAAATTTGTATTGATTTCAGATACAGATGCACTGAAATTTCCTTTGTTATGATGTATGAACTTTATTTTTATGAGTAAAGAACCTTATTGCTGTGTTGTGGGTATTCTGCCTTGTTTGCTCTGACCAGAGTATGGTGCTAATGAAGTTAGAGGTTCAGTTCAGTGAAATGAAACCCTGATTCTTTGTTGAGAATGTATAGCTGTATGACAGATATTCACTTGCTGTCTTGGAAAGCTTGCATTCTTTGTAATTTAACCACTAGATAGTTGAGTAAAAATGCAATTTTCTGAGCCCAGGCTGGTGTTTGGTTGGTTGGAGCATTGCCCCTGATGCACCATTCAGTCCCTGGTCAGGGCACACACAAGAATGAGCCAATGAATACATAAATAGGACAGATTGAGGTTTCTCTCTTTCCCATTCCCTTCCCTTTTGTTCCCTCTCCCGTCCTCTCTCTTTCTAAAATAAATAAAATTAAATTAAAAAATTTAAAAAAAGCCCTGGCCGGTTTTACTCAGCGGTTAGAGCGTCCGCCTGCGGTCCGGAGAGACCCGGGTTCGGTTTCCGCTAAGAGCATGTACCTCGGTTGCAGTTTGTCGCCAGCCCTGGTTGGTCGTGCGGGTGGCAGCCACTCAATGTGTCCCTTTCACATCGATGTTTCCCTCTCTCTTCCTCTCTCTCCCTCCCACTCTGTCTGTACAAAAAATGGAAAAATGTCCTCGGATGAGGATAAAAAAATAAAAAATAAAAAATAAAATACAACTTCCTGAAACTGAAGACCAGCACCAAATTAGTTACTGAAATTGACAAACTTTAGAATAATGTTTGAAGTCCTGTCATTCTTTAGAATTGCTAAAATCATCCGACAAACTAGAAGAATAGCTACTGAGATTATTTTGATTTTGAGAAAAATTTAAATAGCATACATTTGTAATCAGTAAGTACTGTGCTACTCATTTTTATTAAGACAAGCATGACAAGATATGTATTATGGTAGCCATTACTGTATATATATGGTTATAATAGTATTAAAATTTAGCAATTTATACTGGCTTTACCCTTGACTTGGTCTACACTTTATCTTTTTAAACTATGCTTTTTTGGCTTTTGTTAATAGGAAATTATTTTTTTATTGAGGATATTATCTGCTAACCTAAAATGGAAAGTGAAAATAATTTCAAAACTATTTGAATTTTATGTATACAGTTTGAAATATAATTGTTTTCTTTGTGTAGGCTCTTGGGAAAGATAATTTGGATGCTAAAATTTCTAGCTTGAACAATCAGATTCTGAAACTTGAAGAACAAATTACTGATATAAAAGACAAAAGTTTGCCTACTGTGGTAAAAGAGAATGCTCAGTTATTGAATATGCCAGTTGTGAAGGGAGATTTTGATCTGCAGATTGCCAAACAAGACTATTATACAGAAAGACAAGAGTTAGTTTTAAATCAGTTGATAAAGCAAAAGGCATCATTTGAACTTCTGCAGTTATCTTATGAAATTGAATTGAGAAAGCATTGGGACATACATCGTCATCTTGAAAATTTGGTTCAAGAACTTAGTCAAAGTAATGTGATGCTCCACCAGCAATTAGAAATGCTAGCTGACCCATCAGTATCTCAGCAGATAAATCCAAGGAATACCATTGATACCAAGGATTATTCTACTCACAGGTATGCTTCATTTTTTTCTGTAGTGAGTAATTATTTTTTCTTTTGTGTAAAATACTAGAGTTTGAACTGAAATTGTGGAAAGTTACAAAACCTCTTTGCACTCCATTTTTGGCCTTTTTATTCTCCCACTTAAAAAAAAAATGTTTTTATTGATTTTTTTAAAGGGAGAGAAGATAGAAACATCAATGTGAGAAACATCTATTGGCTGCCTCTTACACGCCCCCTACTGGGGATTGAGCCCAAAACCTAGGCATGTCCCTTGACTGGGAATCAAACTGGAACCTCGCAGTTAATGTGACAATGCTCAATCCACTGAGCCACACGGGTCGGGCTATTCTCCCACTTTTATTTTTATTCCTCTCCCAAGGATATATTCTTTCTTTTGTTTGTTTGTTTGTTTGTTTATCCTCAGTCGAGGACATTTTTCCATTTTTTGTTCAGATGGAGTGGGAGGGAGAGAGAGGAGGGGAGAGAGAGAGCAACATTGATGTGAAAGGGACACATCGAGTGACTGCCACCCGCACGACTAACCAGGGTCGGGGACAAACTGCAACTGAGGTACACACCCTTAGTGGGAACCAAACCCCGGTCTCTCTGGACCACAGGCTGACGCTCTAACCACTGAGCCAAACCGTCCAGGGGCCGAGGCTATTTCCTATTTATCATTAGATAGAGTGGGAGGGAGGGAGAGAGAGAGGCAGAAACATTGATGTGATAGAGCCACATCGATCGGTTGCCTCTGTGTCACATGACCAAACCAGGGCCACAGTCGAGGTGCGTGCCCTTGACCAGAATTGAACCTGCAACTCATTGGTCTGTGGGCCGATGCTCTAACCTCTGAGCCAAAACGGCCGGGGCTATTCTCCCTTTTATATATGTCTTTTTCTTTTTTAATATTTTGCTCCCTGTTGCCATTCATGTTAAATATGGAAGTAGCTTCTGTAGAGCTGAGAGGATTGGGTTGCTTTGGGTTGGAGGAATGAATATATACCAGGCCTTACTTACCTTGAGCACCATTATTATTTTAGATTTGGTGCAGGAGTTTAACTCCAGCATGACTCTTGGATACAGCTTAGAGTATAGTAGGAATTGCTGGGCAGAGAATTGACTCCATTTGGAGAAGGTAGTGGTAGAGGAGGAGACATCAATTCTGTGTCTAGTTAGGTGAGTCAGTGAGAATGAATGCTAGCCTTTTCTGGATGTCTAAGCAATTGATGATACAGGGCAGGGATACTGAAATTGTGGGGCTAAAGTAGTCAAAGGCCTCAAAAATCTGGATCCTACTCCTGATTTTTCTCTAGGACCAGAGGAAAATTATCTAATCCTTTGTTTTTTTTGTTGTTGAGGGGCATATATAGGGCTGCCTCATTACACAGTTTCAGAGGGTGACATTGATGTCATGAATGGTGGCCCCTGAAATTGTATAGTTCTCATAAGAACAAAGTTTTATCAAGTCTGTTACAACTTGTTTAAATAATCAAATATTATATTTATAAGAAAAAGAGCAGATTCTTTGTAGAAGATGCTGCCTCTCATTTTTCCATTCGCCCAGTAGGATTTTTCCGCCACTAATGTTTGAAGTGTTAAAGTGGCTTCATGGCTCATCAAGAATTTAATTTGTGCCCTGGCTGGTTTGGCTCAGCCGTTAGAGCTTCGGCCTGCGGTCCAGAGAGACCTGGGTTTGGTTCCCGCTAAGGGCATGTACCTCGATTGCAGTTTGTCCCCGGCCCTGGTTGGGTCATGCGGGTGGCAATCACTCGATGTGTCCCTTTCACGTCGATGTTTCTCTCTCTCTTCCTCTCTCTCCCTCCCACTCTATCTGAACAAAAACACGAAAAAATGTCCTCAGGTGAGGATTAAAAAAAAAGGAATTTAATTTGTGAACTAAATATAGACAAGACTGGTGTAACAAGTTCACTATTACTATTTATGTAGCTCATTATTGCTTTTTAAACATTTTACTTTTTTTTTTTTTTTAATCCTCACTCGAGGACATTTTTTCTTTTTTTGTTGTTCAAATAGAGTGGGAGGGAGAGAGACGGGGGGAGAGAGAGAGAGCGCGCACACGCAACATCGACGTGAAAGGGACACATCCAGTGGCTGCCACCCGCACAACCAACCAGGGCCGGGGACAAACTACAACTGAGGTACGCGCCCCTAGCGGGAACCGAACCCACGTCTCTCTGGACCGCAGGCCAACGTTCTAACTGCTGAGCCAAACCGGCCAGGGCTGCATTTTTTTTTATAGTTTCAAATTTTCTTTTAAATCTACCACAATCCTTTAACATCGGTAGATATTAATGTGAAAATTAAGTCTCAGGTTGACCTAGGTCTTACATAACAGCCAGAACTTAGACCAAGGGCTTCTGTTTCAAGTTTGTTGCTGTTTCTACTACATCATAGTTGTATTCTGTGAAAGAATTGTTTTCTTGGTAGGTATCTCTGAAATGTACTTTGTTTGAAATAGGTTAATGGCAGTTAAAGTAAAAAAATTTTGTATTTTTTATATGGGAAAACGGGGGATTCAGATACAATGATTTGAATATATATTTCTCTAATGAGATAGTATTTTAGTTGGATTGTTTTCAGTTGCTTGGTTTAACAAAGCAGACAGATTCGTATTTTTTTAAGTTACTAGCTGTCCCCAAAGATGTCCCCACACAGTGGATCGTAATTTTGAAAACTGACTTGAGGATTTTTTTCTCTTAATTTTTATTTTCACATTTTAGGCTTTATCAACTTTTAGAAGGAGAAAATAAGAAAAAAGAATTATTTATAACCCATGAAAACCTGGAGGAAGTGGCTGAGAAATTGAAACAGGATGTTTCTATAGTACAAGATCAATTGGCAATATCTTCTCAAGAACATTCTTTCTTTCTGTCCAAACTGAATAATGATGTGGACATGCTTTGTGATGCTTTGTATCAAGGAGGAAAACAACTTTTGCTTAGTGATCAGGTGGGTACTTGCCATAGTAATTAAAAATGCTTTAAAAAATAATATTCGGCCCTGGCCGGTTTGGCTCAGCGGTTGGAACGTCGGCCTGCGGTACAGAGAGACCCGGGTTCGGTTCCCGCTAAGGGCGCGTGCCTCGGTTGCGGTTTGTCCCCGGCCCTGGTTGGTCGTGCGGGTGGCAGCCACTCGGTGTGTCCCTTCGCATCGATGTTTCTCTCTCTCTCTCTTCCTCTCTCTCCCTCCCGCTCTATCTGAACAAGAAGTGTCTTCGGGTGAGGATTAAAAATAATAATAATAATAATATTCGTTGTAAAAGATACTGAAGAAAATGTTCATGAGGAAAATATTACTTGTTGCCCTAATACAAAGTTTATTTTCTTATATCTCGCATTTTTTTGTTCACATGTAAATACATTTTTCAGATAGTTTTGATAATGCACACAAAATTTTTTAAATTTATAAAATATTTCAGACATATAAGGAAATGTAATGCTAAGAATTAAAAAACTAAAACTAAAACCACACCTGTATATTTTTTCACCGATCTTAGCAAAAAGCACATTGGAGTTATATCTTTAAAATACTGTGTATAGCCCAACCGGTGTGGCTCAGTGGTTGAGTGTCAACCCATACACCAAGAGGTCACCGGTTCAATTCCTGGTCAGGGCACATGCCCAAGTTGTGGGTCAAATCCCCAGTGGAGGGCATGCAGGAGGTGGCAAATCGATGTTTCTCTCTTTCTCTTTTCTTTCCTGTCTAAAAATCAATAAAGAAAAAAAAACAAACAAAAACATAAAATTCTGTGTACACTTATAGAATGTTTCTCCTAATAGCATTCATCTACTTCTTCAAAGAGTAACTACTGTGCTTAATTTTATCATTTTCTTTTATTTGTAGTTTTTTCAGATAATGTATATATTTATATATTCCTATACTATAAAATTATATGTTTTGAACTTTATATACATGTATTACTTAATAACTTGCTTGTTTCTTAATATAATTTTGAGATTCATCCATGTTATGCAAAGCTATAGCTCATTTATGGTTATTTTTTTTATTTAGCACTCCATTGTATGAAACTCCATACTTTAATTATTTGTTCTGTCGATAGATGTTTAGGTTATTTCCAGTTTCTGCTATTATAGATGACACTGCCATGGATAGTCTTGTTGCTTGTCTTGTAGCTGCACATTCATGTGCATGTACACACACACATGCATGCACTCAATCTCACTCTCAGTCAGAAGTGGAATTGATGGATCACAGGTTCAATTTCACAGGGTTCATCAAATTGTTTTCCAGAATGGTTGTGCGGTATTGTACCAGCAGTGTCTAAGAGATGCTATTTATCCATATCCTTTTCATCATACTGCATTTTCTGATTTAACATTTCTCTTAATCTGTGGATACAAAGTAGCATCCCACTGTGGTTGTAATTTGCATTTCCCTTATCAGGGAGGTTGAGCTTCCTTTCAGTTGTTTACTGGCCATTAATCTTTTTCTGAAAATTGCTTGTTCATCTCCTTTGCCTGTTTTAGGTTATTTATTTCCTTTTTAAAAATCATTTGTAGGAGATACTTATATATTTTAAATGCCAGTCCTTTGTTATTTATTTGTGTTACATGTATTTCTATTTGTGGCTTGTCTTTTGTCTTTACAGTTTTTTCGTTTTGGGCTTTTTTTTTTTGGATTTTAACTTTGATATTATTTGTCACTCTTTATGGTTTGCTCTTTTTTATTGCTTGTTTTGTATGTCTTGTTAAAGTTTTCCCTTAACATCATAATGAAAGTCCCTTTTACTTTATTTTAAGGTTATACTGTTCAATTTTAATACTTTAATCCGTCAGGAATTTATTTTTATGTATGACATGAAGTAGAGTTTTAATTTTATTTATTTTTTCCTCTTTGAATTACCAAATTGACCCATCACCATTTTCCAAAGCATACTAATTTAAAATCATTGTCTTTTTGGTGAAGGGAACTTCTTATCATTATGAATAAATAATTCTTAAATGTTATTTGCTTTCATGTCTATTTTGTTAGGTTATGTGGACACTACCATTTCTGAACCTTAAATTGTGTTTAAAGTCTAAAAACTCTTTAGAGGACCTAAGTGATTCCTATCTGGACCTTAATTCTAATCAAAGGTTCTTCCATTCTGGACCATCCTGATCTTAAGATTGTTGGTGTCCTTTTTTTTTAATCCTTACCTGAGGACATTTTTCCATTCTTTTGTTCAGATAGCATGGAAGGGGGAGAGGGAGGGAGAGAGAATGAAACATCGACGTGGAAGGGATACGAGTGGTTGCCACCCGCACGACCCAACCAGGGCCGGGGACAAACTGCAACTGAGGTACATGTCCTTAGCGGGAACCGAACCCGGCTCTCTCTGTACCTACCGCAGGCCGATGCTCTAACTGCTGAGCCAAACCTGTCAGGGCTATTGGTGTCCTTTGAGTCCTAAGCCTATTATGAAGAAGTTTTTCTGTTTGACCTCCCATCTTCCATGGACCTTGGACTTTGACTTTTCTCTTATTCATTTTGTCTCAAGAACTATAGGTTCCAGTTTTCTAAGATTGGCAGTTGCCCTAGAGTAAAACTGCTCCTGGGCTCCCTTACCAATATGGGTTGTTTTATGGACATCCAGTTCTTTTTACTGTCTTAGCATCTTTGTTGTTTTCAGAAAGCTTTTGTTTCATTTGACCGGCTGGTGTGACTCAGTGGATTGAGTGTTGTCCCATGGACTGAGATGTCCTGGTTAGATTCCCAGTTAGGGCACATGCCCGGGTTGTGGGTTGCAGGCTTGATTCTCAGTGGGGGATGTGCAGGAGGCAGCTCATCTATGTCTTTCTCACATCGATGATTCTATCTCTCTCCCTTCCTCTCTCTCAAAAACAAAAAAAAATTTTAATTTATTTTTCTTTATTGATTTTAGAGAGGGGTAGAGAGAGAAACATTGATGAAAGAGAACATCAGTTGGCTGCCTCCTGCGTGCCCCCCAACTGGGGATTGGGTCAACAAACTGGGCATGTGCCCTGACCGGGAATCGAACCAGCAACCTTTTGGTGCATGGGTTGATGTTCAACCACTGAGCCACACCGGCCAGGCAAAAAAATTAAAATTTTTTAATTAAAAAAAACAACATTTCGTTTGATTTTTTAAATATTTTGCCTTTTACATTTTTTTCCTATAGGAGGATTGATCTGAATAACTAGTCTACCTTTCCTTGAAACAGGAAGGCTTGTGATTAGTTTTTTAAATGATTTTTAAAATCTGGTAAGCAAAAATTTTTTTTTTTTATTGTGGTAAAATATACAAAATGGAAACATTTACCATTTAATCTTTTTTTTAACCCTCACCCGAGGATATTTTTACATTTATCATCAGATAGAGTAGGAGGAAGGGGGCGAGAGAGAGAAACATCGATTGGTTGCCTCCCACACCACTGGCCAGGGCCGGGGACAAACCACAACCGAAGTATATGCCCTTGACTGGAATCAAATCCAAGACTCGGTGGTCCGCGGGCTGATGCTCTAACTACTGAGCAAAACTGGCCAGGGCACAATTTAACCATTTTAAAGTGTACAATGCAGTGCTGTTAAGTACAATCATAATGTTGTGCAACTGTGACCAATACACGTTTCCAGAACTTCTGCATCTCCTTCAATCCCCACTCCTCCTCAGCCCCTGGTAACCTGGGTTCCACTTTCTAACTCTGAATTTGATTGTTTTAGATACCTCATATAAGTGGAATCATAAATACTTACTGTTTTGTGTTTGGCTTATCTCAGCATACTGTCCATAAGTTTCCATCTGTATTGTAGCATGTGTCACAGTGTTATTCCTTTTTATGTCTAAATATTAATTGCATATAATATACTACATTTTGTTCATCTGGTCATCTGTTGAAGGATACTTGCATTGTTTTCACCTTTTGGCTGTTGTGAATAATGTAGCCATAAACATTGGTGTACAAGTATCTGAGTCCCTGTTTTCATTTCTTTTGGGTATATACCTAGGAGTGGGATCGCTGGATCATGGTATAATTCTGTTGAACTTTCTGAGAAACTGTCAAACTTTTCCATAGCAACTGTACCTTTTTACATTTCCACCAGCAATGCACAAGGGTTCCAGTTTCTTCATATCTTTGCATACACTTTTATTTTCTTTTTAAAAAATATATGTAATAGTCATCCTAATGGGTGTCAAGTGGCATCTGTGATTAGTTTTTTTAAACTTTTACTGATTTTGTCTTGTTTCAATAGATAATTATTTTATACAAATCCATGATTGTGGATTTCAGAAATTTTGTAGTTCTATCAGTTCTTTCAAGTTAAATCCAAATTTAAAATTGTAGTGAATTATTATCCTGCTGGATTTAGTTGCAGTGAATTGAACCATTTAGCATTACATAATGAACCTCACTATTCCTGTTATGCTTTCTGTCTTAGCATTCTTTTTGTCTGATATTAATATTGCTATACCATCTTTCTTTTGGTTAGTATTTGCAAGGTATATGCTTTTTACCTTTACTTACGTATCTTTTTTATTCTTTTTTACATAGCATTAGAACAAAAACATTTTCACTTTAAATATTTTTACAGATAAACAGCTTAATTGTTAATAGTAAAAAAACCACAAACTTATTCTTTGAGCATAAATAAGATCAAAAAAAGCCATAAGGAAAATAAAACTGGTTGTGCCCGGCTGGTGTGGCTCAGTGGATTGAGCATTGTCCCATGGACTAAGAGGTTCCTGTTCCATTCCCAGTTGGGGCATATGCCCAGGTTGCCGGCTCAGTACACAGTCGGGGGGCGGCATGCAGGAGGCAGCTGATTGGTGTTTCTATCTCTCTCAAAAATCATTGAAAACATATTAAAAAAATAAAACTGGTTGTACTCTAATCATTATCATCAGGCCAGCAAGGTATTTTTACTACAGACAATAGGATTAAAGATGGAAGTAACGTTGTTACACAGGATTTGTTTTTAAAAATGTTA